TCGGTTTCCTCTTAGCCCATGTCCTCCAGCCCAGAGGAGGTGACCCAAAGCTGGCACACTTCTGAGTCAGAAGGAATACAGATGGGTGGGACACAAGGGTGATGGATGTCTGGCCTGCTGAGAAGTCACCCTAATTGTGGGATGACATATGTAGAAACATACGATATCCATACATTTTAGATGTCGACTATCTGTACATCCTGGCTCTACGGAGTATCTACTGAGGCAAGTTAACTTCTGTTCCTCACATTGTCCATTAACAGGGAAATAATACGACGTGGATCTGTGGTGAAGCTCAACCTAGATAATACATGTACCAAAGCATACAGTGCGTTGCTGCTGTCACCCACTGGGAGTAGGGGTGCCATTGGGCACAGTAGTTAGGTCACCCACGTTCCCTTATGGAGTGCTGATTCAGGTCTTAGCTCCTCCACTTCTGAACGGACTTCCAGTTAATGCACACCCTGGGGAGGCAGCAGGTTATGCCTTCAAAGACTTGGGTCCCTGCCACCCAACTTCTGGGCTCCTGGCTTTGACCTATCCAGTCCTGGCCATTGTGGGCATTTGGACAGTAGACCAAATCTGTCTCTTCCTTTCAAATGCAATAAAAAAAATGAATAAAAATTTAAAGACATAGAAAGTGCCTAGCACATACTAAGTGTGAATTACATTCATTTTTTCAGCAAATTTTAAAATTTTTTTGTATTTTAATTTCGATTAGTTTTTAACAGATTCAGTGTGATCTGCAGATACAATTCTGAGAACACAGTGACACTTCCTCCTCCCTCTCTACCCCCTACCCTCTTTCCTTCTCTCTTTTTTTTTTTTCAGTTTTTGAGACAACATATTTTAAAATTATATTACAGAGAAATGGTTTAATACTTCACCAAATAGAAAGTTTAACAAGTAAAAAGCTGCCGGCGCCGTGGCTCAATAGGCTAATCCTCCACCTGCGGCGCCGGCACACCAGGTTCTAGTCCCGGTTGGGGCACCGGATTCTGTCCTGGTTGCCCCTCTTCCAGGCCAGCTCTCTGCTGTGGCCCGGGAGTGCAGTGGAGGATGGCCCAAGTGTTTGGGCCCCACACCTGCATGGGAGACCAGGGGAAGCTCCTGGCTTCTCACTTGGGATCAGCGCGGTGCACTGGCCTTGGCAGCCATTGGAGGGTGAACCAACGGCAAAGGAAGACCTCTCTCTCTCTCTCTGTCCACTCTGCCTGTCAAAAAACAAACAAAAAAAAGACCCTAATTTAGTGGGAATATTGACAACAGCTATAAAAATAATTGAATGGAAAAATGACCATTTTACCCATATACAGTAAATTTTAAAGTAATCACACATCATTAAAACTGTACTAGTGGCCAGCGCCGCGGCTCACTAGGCTAATCCTCCGCCTTGCGGTGCCGGCACACCGGGTTCTAGTCCCGGTCGGGGCGCCGGATTCTGTCCCGGTTGCCCCTCTTCCAGGCCAGCTCTCTGCTGTGGCCAGGGAGTGCAGTGGAGGATGGCCCAGGTGCTTGGGCCCTGCACCCCATGGGAGACCAGGAGAAGCACCTGGCTCCTGGCTCCTGCCATTGGATCAGCGCGGTGCGCCGGCCGCAGCGCGCCGGCCGCGGCGGCCATTGGAGGGTGAACCAACGGCAAAGGAAGACCTTTCTCTCTGTCTCTCTCTCTCACTGTCCACTCTGCCTGTCAAAAAAAAAAAAAAAAAAAAAAAAACTGTACTAGTATAACTTTTTTTTTTTTGAAGATTTTTTAAATGAGCTCTTTGAGAGGTACAGTTACAGAGAGAGAGAGAGAGAGAGAGAGAGAGAGAGAGAGGCACAGAGGAAAGGTCTTCCAACCACTGGTTCACTCCCCAGATGGCCACAGTTGCCGGAGCTGCTCCAATCTGAAGCCAGGAGCCTCCTCCAGGTCTCCCATGAGCCGGATCAGAAGAGGAGCAGCCGGGACTAGAACCGGTTGTTGCCCGGATGAGATGCTGGCAATGCAGGTGGAGGCTTAGCCCAGTACGCCACAGTGCTGGCCCCTAGTATAACATTCTTAACTATTGGTTTGACCAAGTCATAAAACAGAGTTTTACAAAACTGTATTTGTAGCACTTCTGATACACAGACATTTCTTTCTTCTTCTTTATTGTTTTCTGACTTTTAGCTCCCATATACAGGGGAGAACCTGCAGTATTTGTCTTTCTGGGTCCAGCTTATTTCACTCAACATGATGGTATCCAGCTTTGTCTGTTTGGCTGCAGTTGGCAGAATTTCATTCTTTTTCATAGCTAAATAATATTCCATTATTCCATTGTGAAATATATATATATGTATTTATATATATCTATCACATTTTCTCTATTCATCTGATTATGGACACTTTGGTTGATTCCAAGTTTTGGCTGTTCACAGAACGGTGCTGCTATGAATATGGTGGTGTAGGTACATTGTGTCCAAGTTTTTTGGGTATAAACCCAGTAGTGGGATTGCTGGATCATATGGCAACTCTATTTCCAGTTTTTTTTTAAGAAATCTCCAAATGGTTTTCCATTGTGGCTGGACTGATTTACATTCCCACCAACAGTGTACAGATGTCCCCTTTGTCTGTATCCTGGTTAGCATTTGTTACTCCCTGTGTTGGACTTTAGCCATTCTGACAGGGGTGAGGTGATGTCTCAGTGTGGTTTTGATTTCCAACACCGTTGATTTGATGGTTGGTGTTGGTGAACATTTTTGCATTTGTTTGGGGCCATTTGTATTTCTTCTATTGAGAACTATCTGTTGAAGTCCTTTGCCCGTTTTCCACTGTTGAGTTTTAAGTTGCTGATACGTTAAGGATATCCTTTGTCAGATAAGTAGTTTGCAAACAATTTTCCCCATTCTGTTGGGTGTCTCTTTACTCTGTTGGTCATTTTCTCTGCTGTGCAGTAGCTTCTGAGTTTGAGATAGCCCCGTTTGTTTGGTTTTGCTTTTGTTGCCTGTGCTTCGGGGGTCTTGTCCTACATCAGTGTCCCGGCATGTTTCCCCTACATTTTTGTCCAGCAGCTTTATAGTCTCAGGTCTTAAATTTAGGTCTTTGATCCATCTTGAGTTGATTTTTGTGTATGGTGAAAGGTACAGATCTAATTTCATTCTTCTACATACATACACACAGTTTTGCTAGCACCATTGTTGAAGAGATTGTCCTGGCTCCACTGTATGGTCTGAGCACCTTTGTCATAAATCAGTTGGCTGTATGTATGTGTATTAACTTCTGGGCTCTTTTTCAACAAATATTTATTGAAAGGTTATTATGTGCCAGGTATTATACTAGACACTAGGAAATAAACGGTGAACAAAATGGGAAAATCCTTGCATTTGTTGGATTTAAATTCTAGTTCTGAGATATAGTTGATAAAATAAGTTAAAAAAAAAAAATCAGATGCCACCTGCGGTGCTGACATCCCATATAGGCGCCTGTTCTAGTCCCGGCTGCTCCTCTTCCAACCCAGCTCTCTGCTATGGCCTGGGAAAGCAGTAGAAGACGGCCCAGGTCCTTGGACCCCTGCACCCACGTGGGAGTCCTGGAAGAAGCTCCTGGCTCCTGGCTCCAGATCGGCACAGTTGCGGCCATAGCAGCCGTTTGGGGAGTGAACCAACGGATGGAAGACTTTTCTCTTTGTCTCTTCCTCTCACTGTCTGTAACTCTACCTCTCCATAAATAAATAAAATCAAAGTCAGAGCAGGCTTTCCGAGAGGGCTGCATTGAGTAGGGATTTGATGTGAGAGCTGGAGCCCAGCTGGAGGAAGTGGTTCTAGGCAGAAGGAGCAGGACATCAGCTGTGCAGTGGGAAGCTTTTGGGGGGTTTTAAGCAGACTGACTGGAAGTGGTTTATGTGTTAGCATTACCACTAGACGAGGTAGGTGAGAGTGAAGGCAGGGAACGTTGTTGAGGCTCTTGCTGATCATTGGAATGAAGGAGGGCAGCCCAGGGTGGTAGCAGTGGAGGTAGAAATGGTTGGGTTCTGACATGATTTGCTGATAAATTGGGTTTGCTGTTTGAGAGAAGAGTTGCCAGAGGTTTTTTTTTTTTTTTTTTTAGCCAGAGTATTTGGGAGCATGAAGCTGCAGGGAAGACTGAAGGAGAAATAAATACAAGGGTGAACTTAGGAGTTTCTGTTTATACTTATCCTGCTAGGATAAGTATAAATGTTAGCAGTTGTTACTACTATTAGTTATCCAATAAATGCTAACTATTATAATCATCCATTAAATATTTATTAGCTCTTTGGTAAACAGTTTGCTATGTTCTGGGAATTAAAATGATGGCCAAAAATAGACACGGTTGTAGCCTTTATGGAATTTTCTGTCTAATGGGGATAGATGGGAGTTGCGCAAATAACCATAATGTTGGTAGTTAGTTTTGTCTTTTTTCAAAAAATAATCTGTTCATGAGGTCCCTAGGAAGAAATGAGTGATTTAAAATCATAGGTATCCCTTGACATTTCAGACTACTTAAATTTTTCCCATTAGACATATCTTATAAGGTTATATCTTAACAATATATATATTTTAAAATTTGCATATTTATTTGAGAGCCAGCTGGAGGGAGAGACAGACAGTCTCTAGCCTGCTGGTTCATTCCCCAAATGCTCACAATGAGCTGGTCTGGATTGGACTAGGCTGCATCAGCCAGCCTGAAACCAGGATCCTGGGACTCAGTCAGGTTTTTCGTATGAGTGGCAGGGACCCAGCTTGTTGAGCCATCAGCACTGCCTTCCAGGGTCTGCCTTGTCAGGAAGCTGGAGTCAAGTGCCAGAGGAGGAGAACAAACGCAAGCGCTCTGATGAGAGATGCAGGAATCGTAATTTCCCTGCCAAATCCCTACTTCTGACTGGTTAATGTACACACGGGAATGAAGTTGAATGAAGTTAGCTGTCTTTGGCTGAGATAGTTGTATATTGAACCTAGGTATTGTATATTTCATACAAATTACAGTAGTAATAATTTTTATGTTTTTAAAATATCAACAGGTTCGTCATAAGGCATCACAGAAGGTTTATGCCATGAAGCTTCTTAGTAAGTTTGAAATGATAAAAAGATCAGATTCTGCTTTTTTTTGGGAAGAAAGAGATATTATGGCCTTTGCCAACAGTCCCTGGGTGGTTCAGGTAAGCATATTCACTTTCATAAGCTCAATTCCTTTTTCTGTAAGTGCTTATTAGTCGCAAGAGTTGATTTTGTGTGCCAGAGTTCTGTGCCTCATTCACACAGTAGTAATGCAGTTATTTTTATAAGCTCTCATTCAGTATGCTTGTTTATTGTTCTTAAACAGTATATTCACCTACACAGGACATGTAGTCATTACTTAAATTGTATGAATGCAAATATTACTACAACTTTCTCTTTTTTAGTTCTTTTAAAAGAATTGGTTTATCACCAGTATATCGTTGCTTCCGGCCCACATTTTCTAATGATTACATAGTAGGAACACAGTAAATTCTTTTAATCATTCACAAGGATGTATACATACTGATATTGTTAGTTTATGTTACTGGGAACGGCGCATGGTGTAGCAGGTTAAGCCATTGTCTGCGGACCTGACATCCCATAGGGCACCGGTTCAAGTCCTGGCTTCTCCACTTCCGATCCAGCTCCATACTAATGTATATGGGAAAGCAGTGGAAGATGGCTCAAGTACTGGAGCCCCTGCACCACATGAAAGACCTAGAAGAGGCTCTTAGCTTGGGATCGGCCCAGCTCCAGGCTTTGTGGCCATCTGGGGAGTGAACCCGCAGATAGAAGCTCTCTCTGTCTCCTCCATACTCCCTTTCCCTCTCCCTCTCTCTGCAACTCTGCCTTTCAAATAAATAAAAGCAAATCTTAAAAAAGAAAAGTTTGTTACATTGATTAACCTGTCCGTAAAAAAAAAAAATCAAAAAACAAAAACAAAAAAAACTTTCTACAATAAACACTTTAAAAATTCTTCTACAGTCTTTCATATGTTACCTATAATGTGAGACATTATTAATATTCCTAATTCTACTACTTTTTTGGCTATGGATTAAGAAATTTATGGGTCTGTGTTATCTCCTCAATTATATATCTCTTACTAGTTTTGCTGCTTTAGATTATTTTAATATCAAGATTTTCAAATACTAGTATTTAAGTCTACAAGCATTTTTGACTAAAAGTCATGAATAAGATTATGTTATATACCAATGAATGTTTAGGATGTTTAAGTAATATGAGAATTTGATGCCCTGCTTTAAAAAGCAACTTAAAGGTTAACAAATTGCCATATTAATATTTATGTCATTTAAAAGCTCATTACAGTTGCTTTTCTTATGAGGTTGTACCTCCGTCTCCCCACCATTATTTTATGTAGCCAGTGAATAGAAATTCTGATGCGGGGCTGGTGCTGTGGCTCAGTGGGTTAACACCCTGGCCTGAAGCGCCGGCATCCCATATGGGCACTGGTTCGAGACCCGGCTGCTCCACTTCCAATCCAGCTCTCTGCTATGGCCTGGGAAAGCAGTAGAAGATGGTCCAAGTCCTTGGGCCCCTGCACCTGTGTGGGAGACCCAGAAGAAGCTCCTGGCTCCTGGCTTCGGATCAGCACAGCTCCAGCCATTGCGGGTATCTGGGGAGTGAACCATCGGATGGAAGATCTCTCTCTCTCTCTCTTTCTCTCTCTCTCTCTCTCTCAGCTTCTCCTCTCTCTAACTCTGACTTTCCAATAAATAAATAAATCTATAAAAAAAAGAAATTCTGATGTGTGCAGTTAAAATTAAAATTTTTGTAGCAGTAGTATACCGTGCTATTTTACTTGATTAAATACGTATTGGGCCTGGCGCTATGGCATAGTGGGCTAAGCCTTCACCTGCAGCACCAGAATCCCATATGGGCACTGGTTCAAGTCCCAGCTGCTCCACTTCTGATTGCACTCTCTGCCAGGGCCTAGGAAAGCAGTGGAAGATGGCCCAATGCTTGGGCCCCTGCACCCATGTAGGAGACCCGGAAGAAGCTCGTGGCTTCGGATTGACCCAGCTCTGGCCATTGCAGAGTTTGGAGAGTGAACCAGAGACTGGAAGGATCTCTTTCTCTCTGCCTTTTGAATAAATCTTTAAAAAAATTAAAAATTATTTTTCCAGTATTAGGTTTAAATTAACTTTCATAGTAGTCGATTCATTGTTGTTTCTAGTTAATCATTTTATAAATGGGCACTGTTAAGTAGCTGAGCAACCAACACAACAGTTGAAATAGAGATTTCAGTACAATACAGTTGAAAGTGATTCAGATGTAGCCCCGATTTCACGTTTATCTGACTTGATAAAGGACATGCCATTTATTATATTTAGATTTCTATATATGAAATGTTTAACTTTTTAAGAAAACTTATCAAAGTAATAGACTTATTTTTATTGTTTATTCAGTGATTTTAATACATCCACAGATTTGTGCAGCCATCACCACTACCTAATTTTAGAACATTTTTATCACCTCCAAAAACCCTTCAACCATTCAGCAATTACTCCTCAGTCCCCCCTTAGCCCAGTCCCTGTCACTGCTGATCTACTTCTGTCTCTGTAGATTTGCCTGTTTTAGACAGGTCACATAGATGAGAAAATGCAATATGAGGTCTTTTGTGACATCTTTCACTTGGGATGATGGTGTCTACATTCTTCCATGTTTTATTATGTGCTACACTTCCTTATTATGGCTGAATAATATTCTGTGGTAGGGATATATCATATTTTGTTCATTACACACGTAATGGACATTTGGATGGTTTCTAATTTTTGGCTATTGTGAGTAATGCTACTAGGGACAGTCTTTCATAGTTTGGTCATATGTTCGCACTTTTAATGAGTTTTCTTGCAGTGAAATTAATAGTTATAGGTTATGCCCATAATAAATTTTAGTGGATTATTTTGAACAGTTTTCCGAACCTCAGCTCTTATATTTTAATTCAGTATTTAATTATGTGAATGCTTCCGTAATTTGTTGTTATTGTTCTCTTGTGGAAATAGTACTTTCCATTTTTCTTATATATAAATTATGCAATATAGGGTGAGCCTTTGGCATAGTGGTTAAGACACCACTTGAGGTACCTGCATCCCATACTGGGACTGCCCAGGTTCAAGTTTGGCTCTGCCCTTGTTCCCTCTTCTTGCTACCATGCATTGTGGGCAGCAGCAAGTGATGGCTCAGGTAGTTGGGTTCCTGCTTCCTGGCCCCAGCCTGGCCTATCCCTGGCTGTCGCAGGCATTTAGAAGATGGGAATGCTCTGCTGTCTCTCTTCTCCTCCCCCTCCCCCCCCTCCTTCCCTCTCCCTCTCCCCTCCTCTGTCTTTCAAGTAAGTCAAAATTAAAAAACAAAACAAAAAGCCAACACGCTATAGTATAAGTCACTGACCCACCTGTATTTCCTAGATATGTTCTAAGTATGGTTTTGAATTCAGTCTATAAATATTGGCACATTTAAATATTTTTATTCCTTTATTAGTAAAGAGGATTTTTGTCTTTTTTAAGCCATCTGTATATTCAGTTTGTTCTGTTTTCCTAGTGTCATTCTTTTTGTACTCCCTTTTCTTTGTAATTTCATCATGAAAATACATACTAAACACTTTAGCTTTGACTTTTTCTAAAAAAAAAATTATTTTCTTTATTTGAAAGGCATAGTTAGAGAGAGACAAGAAGAGACAGGGAGAGACCTTCCATCTGCTGGTTCACTCCCAAATGGCCACAACTGCCAGGGCTGGGTCAGACTGAAGCCAGGAGCCAGGAGTTTATTCCAGGTCTCCCATCTGGGTGCAGGGGCGCAAGCACTTGGGCCATCTTATGCTGCTTTCCTGGCACAGTAGCAGGGAGCTGGGTTGGATGCCAGTGTTGTGGGCTGTGGCCTAACCACCATGCCACAGTGCTGGCTCCCAGAGAAAGTTCTTTTGCCTTCCATTTCTAGCACTGTAACTAGTTCTTCTATCATCACACATGTATTTCATTCTTAGAATGAAGGTTTTTTTTTTCCTTTATCATCCTACTATTTAATTGGTGTGATACCTTACCCTTTCGTAGATACTGATTTTGTATATTTAAAACCGCCCCCAGTTTTCCTCTTAAGCATTTCTTTTATCTATCTATCTATCTATCTATCTATCTATCTATCTATCTATCTATCTATCTATCTATCTGAAAGAGTTACACAGAGAGAAGGGGAAGCAGAAAGAGAGGGGTCTTCCATCCATTGCTTCACTCCCCAGTTGGCCTCAACGGCCAGAGCTCTGCCGATCTGGAGCCAGGAGCTTCCACTGGGACTCCCACGCAGGTGCAGGGGCCCAAGGACTTGGGCCATCTTCTACTGCTATCCCAGGCCATAGCAGAGAGCTGGATTGGAAGTAGAGCAACGAGGTCTTGAACCAGTGCCCATATGGGATGCCGGCACTGCAGGAGGCAGCTTTACCCGCTAGGCTACAGCGCTGGCCCCCTCTTAAGCATTTCTATGAGTATAATTTAATTTTGTTTCTTGAATTGATTTGTGCTTATGATGGTAGTTATCTCAACTGTTGGTTCTTAGTGTTTTTTTTTTTTTTTTTTTTTTTTTTTTTTTTTTTTTTTTTTTTTTCTATCTTTCCATGTTTACATATGGTTACCTTTTTGGTTTGCTTTGCTTACTCCTAGGAGGGGTGGAACTTATTATTTGGTTGGGTGATATGGATACCTTTTTTTATGAGTTTGTGGTTTCTCTGTCTCTCTTGGGGCCAGTAGCATCCTGGATTGGTGTCTGATTTCTCTGGTCCAATACCAGTGATACAGTCTGAATACAGGTAGCAGTTCCACTTGCTGTAAGAGGATGGAAAAAGGGATAGGAGTTGGCTCTGTTCCAAATGTGGCTACCAATTACTCATTCTGTCCATTGGTGTGGGGCTTATTTCTCCCTGTATTCCTTGAGGCTAGTATCATTTAGATTTTTCTGAACTGCTTCTTGGCCTCTTTTCTGTTATGAGTTCTGTGTAGTTTTAGAAAGCTATTTTTTTAAGGTAGTGAATTTTTTTCTTTTTTACTTTTTAGTATCTTGTATTATGTTTTCCATGAGGGAAAAAATATTTGTTTACCCGTATTTTGATGGTAAGGTTAAAGAAGGTTCCCATATAAAATTTTTTCTGGTGCTTTTTCTTTTCTTTCTTTTTTTAAATTTATTTTTATTTATTTATTTGACAGGCAGAGTGGACAGTGAGAGAGACAGAGAGAAAGGTCCTCCTTTGCTATTGGTTCACCCTCCAATGGCCGCCGCGGCCGGCGCGCTGTGGCTGGTGCACTGCGCTGATCCTAAAGCAGGAGCCAGGTGCTTCTCCTGGTCTCCCATGGGGTGCAGGGCCCAAGCACTTGGGCCATCCTCCACTGCACTCCCTGACCACAGTTTCTGGTGCTTTTTCCATTCAACCTTTCCAGTTTTAAAATACAAGATTTTATATTTTTGACTGTGATTTGATTATAAAATATTTGTCTTACTCAATAGTAATGATAGTTTTTGGATTTTGTTCTGTTTATGGTTTTGGGTTTTTGCTTTTTTAAAAAACAATTTTTCCTTTTGTTTTCCAGCTCTTCTGTGCCTTTCAGGATGACAGGTATCTGTACATGGTAATGGAATACATGCCTGGTGGAGACCTTGTAAACCTGATGAGTAATTATGATGTGCCTGAAAAGTGGGCCAAATTCTATACTGCGGAAGTTGTTCTTGCCCTGGATGCGATACACTCCATGGGCCTGATCCACAGGGACGTGAAGCCTGACAACATGCTACTGGATAAACACGGACATCTCAAATTGGCAGATTTCGGCACGTGTATGAAGATGGATGAAGTAAGTAAACAAGTAAAAAAAGAATGCTAGTTTTTCAGAAACAAAAATGAAATGGATCAAGACTTTATGGTTTTGAATAAAGATAAATTAAGTTTCGTTGTGTAGTGACTCAGGTATGATACAACCAAATGAAGACATTTCCTTTGCTGATCATTCATCAAGCTGTGGAGTGCTTCGTTAATGAGCCCTAGAGAAATAAGAACTTGGCTGTCTTAGTTACTTTCCTCAAAGAATCTGACAGCATTTGTTAGCAATCAACACTGTTTCAAGTATATTATGATCTTTTTGAAACTATAGGGCACAATCTGAAATCAAGGTGCCTGTACCACTGTTGCAGTTTTGTATTTTTCTTTTAGAAGAGGAGGTGAGGAACGTAGCTTATGCTGCTGCCTCCTACCCACCCTCCCTGCGTCAACCCTGTAGAATCAGTTGGGGACATCATCTATCGTTACACTTTACCTGTTGACCAGTTCATACATACTATGATTGATAGGTTCAGTAGTATTAACCTTATACTTATTATCATATTGATTTGTTTTGTTTGCAAAATCTGTTTTGTCCTTTTTTCTCTAAGTGTACTGTAATGCTAGCAGTAATGCTGCATGGCAAGGGGTCGTATTTTATTTCCTTTGTGTTCTCTTGTTGGATCTAGAAGATTACTTGTCTGTGTTAAATGTTATGACTTGTAAACTTTACTTGATAGCAGTGTGTATTGACAGCAGATTGGATCATCTTTTGTATGGTTTTTCATAACCTTCCAGTGTGCTTATGTAGGTAATATAGTTCTTGTCAGTTACATGATCAGGACATTAATTTGAGTTGATTTTCTTTTTTCTTTATCTTAATTTATTCATACCACCTGTGTGACGTTTAGTTCATTGTTATCAGCAATCTATCTTCTTTCATACTCAGATTAGATTTTACTTCATCTAGAAAGTTTGACGTGTTCATTTTTTTTTCAAGATTTATTTATTTGTTTGAAAGTCAGAGTTATAGAGAGGGAGAGACAGAGAGAGAGAGGGAGCTCTTCCATCTACTGGTTCACTCCCCAGAGGGCTGCAACGGCTGGAGCTGAGCCCAATCAAAACCAGGATCCAGGAGCTTCTTCCTGGTCTCCCTCGTGGGTGGAGGGCCTCAAGCACTTGGGGCATCTTCCACTGCTTTCCTAGATGCGTTAGCAGGGAGCTGATGGAAAGTGGAGCAGCCTGGACTTGAACCCGTGCCTTAAGGGATGCTGGTGCTTCAGGTGGCAGCTTCACCCACTGCGCCACAGCACCAGCCCCTGATGTGTTATTCTTAACCTGACTGGTCACTCTTTTAATATCCATAATATTCTCACTTATTCAGAACTTGTGTGTTACTTTAATCAGCTGGGGTGTGTGTGTGTGTGTGTGTGTGTGTGTGTGTGTGTGTTTTCTTGGTCTACTCAGCTAAAATGCAACATCTCTTTACTTTTTGTTCTTTTCAGTAGGGTCTGTTACTATGTTCTGCACCCTGTTGTAGAGTACTTGTTCCTACGCTGCCTCTTACTGTTATTCAGTATATTAAAATATGAAATAATGAATGGTGAAAGTTATCTGTAATGAAAATTAAATACAAAGTCATTTTCTATTGAATCCTAAACTTCTATGTGTTGTGTATATACTGTGTGATGTTTGTGTGCTGCATTTCTTTTTTTTTTTTTCTTTTTTTTTTTGACAGGCAGAGTGGACAGTGAGAGAGAGAGACAGAGAGAAAGGTCTTCCTTTTGCCATTGGTTCACCCTCCAATGGCTGCCGCGGCTGGCACGGCGCGCTGATCCGAAGGCAGGAGCCAGGTGCTTCTCCTGGTCTCCCATGGGGTACAGGGCCCAAGTACTTGGGCCATCCTCCACTGCACTCCCGGGCCATAGCAGAGAGCTGGCCTGGAAGAGGGGCAACCAGGACAGAATCCGGTGCTCCGACCGGGACTAGAACCTGGTGTTCCGGCGCCGCTAGGTGGAGGATTAGCCTATTGAGCCGCGGCACCGGCCCACTGCATTTCTATATGTGTGTTCTGATTATAAGTAAACACACTATTAGGGATGCAGTGGGGAGCAGATTAATAAATCACATATTTTTAAGTGGAGTAATGGTGGTTAAAGAAAGAAAGGTAGAGTGTGTGAGAATATGGGGAACAGGACAGAATATGATTACCTATAAAATAATTTTACAAGTATGTAAGCAGATACTAAAATCGTCTATTGCAGTATCTTAGACCTATTTTACTTTGCCTTAACTAATTTTGCCAACTATTTCTTAATAAAAGTTGTGCTGCCTGTTCAGTTGATTGTCACGAGTGGTCTACACTCAGGTCCCATCTGTATTGTATGTTTCCTCCTTTCAGTTTCTTTCTCATTCTCTCTGCTCTCTCTAACAGGCAGCCAGTCAATGCGTTTACACTTGACTTTGCAGAGTATCTGTATAGCATGTATACTGTTGGCTTAATAAAGAATATGTGTCATTTTTTTCACTTTTGTCTATTAGTATTGTTTTCATATCCATCTCTGATAAATGTAAATTAGTTCTTTGCTTCTTACTGCTGCTTAGTATTCCATAATATCTATCAATTTACCTTATTATTATTCCCTGGTGTTGGATTTCTAGGTCACCTCCAACTCCCTGCTACCAATAATACTGTCTTTCACACCCTCACGCATGTGCTGTGTGCATCCTGACAGTTCACATGTGAACCTAGAACTCAGCCCGCTGTGTCGGGGGCAGGAGTCCCCTCATTTTCAGAGTGGTTGTCCGAGTTTAGAACTCTTCTCAGCAGGACATCCGTGTCCCCACAACATCAGTGACCTCCCTGTTGTTCAGCTCTCTAAATGTTGCCAGCCCAGTTGGTGTACAGTAGTGTGTTTTAAGATTGTGTTTATCTGTACTAATGATGACACACTCTTCCTGTCCTTGCCAGTCTTCCTCTTTTGTGAACCACCTGTTGTCTCTTTTTACCTGGTTTAAACTGCTGCTTCTTGGAGTACCTGAATCTTGTGTAACGTGGGTCGTGATTCCACAGATGCTGTGGGTACCTTCCCACCCACTACTCATCTGTGCATAGTTTGATGAGTTAAGATTAAAGTAGAACTCCTTGATATTTATGTAGTTGATTATTTTTGAAATACTGAGCTTTGAAAATGTTGATTGTTTCACCTCAAGCCTCTGTTTTTCTCAAGTGACACTAATAATGGTGACCGTTATTTGAAGAACAGAAGAGTTTATTGAGTTTATAATTTTGTGGTAGTAGTTACTATGAATAGTGCTATTTTAAGAATCAGTCCCGTGCTTTGCCTTTGTTTGATCATGCTGGCTTCAGTGTGATGGCTACACCAATGCCTTTACCAAGGTGCACAGCGCCATTCTTACTCTGCAGACAGAGCTGGCAAATGAGAATATAAGGCCCAGTCCTGCCCTGGAGCTTGGTTTTGCATAGCTTATGTACTACAGCTGATTCATACGTTTTTAGAGGATTATTTTAATAAAGAAAAAATTGTGACAGAGATCCTGTGTGGCCCACAAAGCCGACCATATCTGAGTCTGCTAATCCCTTACCTGCTACACAGACACAGGTGCTTGAATCGTTTTGCCGCTGTCCTGACTCCTTGTAAAACATTATGCCATGGATAAAGGCAAAAATAAAATATAACAATAAAGTTAAAACAAGGACAAAAATAATTTTTATTATCACAGTTAGGATCAATGATATTTCATCCAGTTGTATCACTGATAAATTGTGGCTTATACAGTTTGCTGAATGTTGCAAGTTTTTTCTCAAAAAACATAAGCTTATATGAATGTGAGAGTCACATTGTGGTTTACTAACATCTAGAAGTGTCTCAGAGACAACTGAGAACTATTTAAAATACCTTGCCTTACCTAGATATGTTGGTTTCATCCCTTGCCTGTTATGCATCTCATAGCAACCTTTTCTGCCTTTTAAGGCACAATACACATTCAGAATTTACATTACCTGCAGATAGGTAGATCATTAGATTTTTCATGTAACCATTTGGTTAAATTGAGTCTGTAATGTTTATAAAACAAACTGGTAAATTGTGTATGCTCTTAGCCTTTCTATAGGTGACATTAATTTATATAATATAGGTGTGTGTTTTTTTTTTTTTTTTTAAAGATTTACTTATTTGTTTGAAAGTAGAGTTATGGAGAGGCAGAGGCAGAGAGAGAGAGGTCTTCCCTCTGCTGGTTCATCCCAAATGGTTGCAATAGCCAGAGCTGCACCAATCCAAACCCTGGAGCCTAGAGCTTCTCCCAGGTCTCCCACATGGGTGCAGGGGTCCAAGCACTTGGATCATCTTCCACTGCTTTCCCAGGCCATAGTAGAGAGCTGGATTGGAAGTGGGGCAGCCAAGACTTGAACTGGTGCCCATATGGGACGCCGGCACTGCAGGGGCAGCTGTACCTGCTACACCACAGTGTCGGCTCCATATGAGACTTTGTGATTCCTGGCCTTCATATATGCTGTTTGGTAGTCTTCCTGGCAAATTCTCGGTCATCCTCTGAAGCTCAGTCCAAAGTTTCCTCTCTTGTGAAGGCTCTGTAGCTAGGCTCCTGTGTCTTTTCAACTTGTTCCTTGGTTTTTGACACTACACGATGTTCAAGACTTGTGTTTTCTCCAAGTCCTGGAGTCTGCCACTTCTCCAAGAGTTCTGATTCCTTCTATTAGAGGGCAGGACTTCACATGAGTATTTGGGAGCGAGATGAGCTCATGGCTCCTGCAGCGTGCTACAGCTCAGTGGACAGCTGTGTTTGTATGTTGTGTGTACCACATTCACTAATCCACATGCCATCCAGCTTGAGGTTGGATTTTGTATCTGTTTGTTTATATAGTATATTAAATACCATGAGTTCATATTGAAACCTCTGGTTCAAGTCCTGATACCACAGGGTTCATTCAAGTTTTTGCTCATTCAAATTTCTTGAAAAGCTCATTCAAGTATTTGCTCATTCAAATTTCTTGAAAAGCTCATTCAAGTATATTCCTTTTTTTGAATTTCCTTCTTGGACGATAAAAAGCCTGACTCTCATCATTATTCCATCATTGTCAGTCTGTACCCCTGTGTTAATATATTATTGTTGTATTCTTTTTGTTTTAGTTTTACATTATCCTGTTAAAATACTGCTTCCCATAATTATTTGGGTTAGTTCTTTCTACCCTTTTCAGTGTGGTTATGGTATTGATTTATAAAACGGTTTCGTTTCTTTTTGTGTTTTACTCAGGGCATTTGTTGGTGATGGGCGCTTTCTCTGGGTTGAAGAGTGGGGACTCTGCACAATGTCTGCACAGAGAGGGGTCCCCTGCCCATTCTTCCTTCTGCACCATTCCCGGTGCTGCTTTTTCCCAACCTTTGCCCACCTGCCCTCTGCCCCATAGTAGAACAGTCCTTTAGTTTCTGATTTATTCTTTTTTTTTTTTTTTTTTAAGATTTTTATTTGTTTATTTGACAGAGTTACAGACAGTGAGAGAGAGAGAGAAAGGTCTTCCTTCCGTTGGTTCACCCCTCAAGTGGCTGCCATGGCTGGAGCTATACCAATCTAGAGCCAGGAGCTTCCTCCTGGTCTGTCATGCAGGTGCAGGGCCCACGCATTGGGCCATCCTCCGCTGCCCTCCCGGGCCACAGCAGAGAGCTGGACTGGAAGAGGAGCAACTGGGACTAGAACCCAGCGCCCACATGGGATGCCGGCACTGCAGATGGAGGATTAACCTAGTGCGCCACTGTGCCGGCCCCTAGTTTCTGATTTATTTTTCCCATATTTCTTTTAAGCTATATCAAATGTGTGGCATAAATGTGGGTTCTATATTTATATAATTTGAGAGGTCTTGATAAGACTGTTTTTAAAAATCTTTTTGAAATGTTTATTTTAAAACCTTCAAAATACTAATTTAAAAATTGTATCCAGCACATTAATTTTCTGTAAGGAGAGTGCGGTTCAGATAGCTTACCTGTTAAAGAAATCTGTAGTCCTTCCAAAGTATTTACTCTGCTGTAGTTATTGAAACTGGTATCCAGCTTACCCTGCCAGCTGGAGGAATTTCACATGTGGTTCATTTGGACTTCTCCACACTTGTTGCGCGTGCCTCGTGTAGGGTCTTTCTGTGTAATCGGTCGTTCACCACCACGCCCGTAGAAGCCACCTCCTCTGTCCTTCTGTCCTTGCCGGCCTGTGAACTGTGTGGGGTTCTTTTGCGCCCCTCATCCTTTCCTTTCCTTTCTTGGAACCTTTGAGTGCTGAGTAATCTTTCCTTCAGGTGTATTTTGTATGTGTGTCCAGTAAGATTTTGCTCTTAACTCTCACAAGACTCACTTTAAAACAGACAAAAAGAATGCCTCATTTTTGTGGCTACATAAGAACCGAAAATATTTCCTTTACACTTGTAAGTCTCTCAATTATTTTTCCCCCAAGGAAGTGTAAACTATTAGATAGTTCATGATAAAAACTAGTTGTATGTTCTGCCTTTCTGAGTCAGATAATATGTTTATCTTTTTTAAAGATTTATTTAAAATTTATTTATTTATTTGAAAAGAGGGTGGGGAGAGAGAGGAGATCTCTTTGACTGCTGGTTTACTCCTCAAATAGCTGCAATAGCTGGGGCTTGGCCATACCAAAGCTGGGAACCTGGAACTCCATCCTTCACTCCCACATGGGTGTCAGGGGCCCAAGTCCTTGGGCCATCGTCTGCCGCTTTTCCAGATGCATTAACAGAGCACTTGGGGCTTGAACTAGCACTCATATATGGGATGCCAGCATCAGAGACTGCAGCCCGCCCACTTCGACAGTGCAAGCTCCGTGATTTATCTTTTGTGCTATCTAGTGATCCATACAAAATCTATGGCTTGTTCAGTTGTTTTCATAAGATACATTTTAATTTATACTCAAACTGTAGATATTTCTATCCCTGTTTGCTGTATACTCAGGAACATGAAGTGAAATCGTTGAGTTAGTTTTGCCAGCTGAAGATGATTGTCTTTTAAATCAATCTCCTAAACATAGCACATTTTACAGCACTTGAAAGCATCTACAGAAGCCATGTTTAAAATACATAGAACTTTCTTTTTCCAACTTGGTCGTAATAGTTAATATTTTGATGCACTCATTCAAGCTAATTTATAAACTCCTACCTGGTTGACAAAACCTGAGGCGAAGGAGTTCTATGTAGCAGTGCACTACTGTGGTGATTCAGCGTTGTAGCATGCACATATTTACATATATACACACACAGGTGTGATGGTTTTTGTCCTTGTCAAAAAAAATCATCAGGTAGGAATTATCCTACTTTCCACTGAAACTAAGCATGAATAAGGATTTTTCTGTTACCTTACCAAATATATTGAGGCCATAGCTGCATATTTCCAAATATGTAGCAGGGTGGTGTAGCTTTCCAGCTTTCAAAATCTTTTAATTTGAACACTTGATCTATTGGCCAGCGCAGCGGCTCACTAGGGGCTAATCCTCTGCCTGCAGCGCCAGCACCCCAGGTTCTAGTCCCAGTTGGGGCGCCGGTTCTGTCCCAGTTGCTCCTCTTCCAGGCCAGCTCTCTGCTGTGGCCCTGGGAAGGCAGTGGAGAATGGCTCAAGTGCTTGGACCCTGTACCCGCATGGGAGACCAGGAGAAGCACCTGGCTCCTGGCTTCTGATCAGCGCAGCGCGCCTGCTTGTAGGGGCCATTTGCAGGGTGAACCAACGGAAGGAAGACCTTTCTCTCTAAAAATAAAAAAAAATAATAAAATAAAATAAACACTTGATCTATTTCCTATTTTTCTTGATAGTGTAGGAACCATTTCATTATCCAGCTTTAAATGGGAGGCCCTTTTGTCATTTAATTTCTTCAGTTTCTTCTGGAAATATTAAAGCTTCCTTTCTCTAATGACTGCTTGCTTTTCCCCAGTTTAGACGCTTTAAGACCACATTTTTTACTTCTCTTATGACTACTTCATAGTGTAAGAAATAAGAAAAAGAAGCAAAAGTTGTTGAATATAATAGTCTCCGTGGAGTTTACTGCCTTTTCTGTCTTTCGTTGATGAATTAAAAATGTATCCCTAATCTCCCATAATCCAGACATTTTTGTGCAATTCATACTGCACTTATCCCCAAAGTTCTGTTGGAAGCACTATGTCATTGCTGTGTGTCTGAAAATAAATGCATTAATTGCATCTATGGGCGTGTGTGTTTTCACATTGATCTCCACTGTTTACCCAGACAGGCATGGTACATTGTGATACAGCAGTTGGCACACCTGATTACATATCCCCTGAGGTCCTGAAGTCACAAGGGGGTGATGGCTACTACGGACGGGAATGTGACTGGTGGTCTGTGGGTGTTTTCCTTTTTGAGATGCTAGTGGGTAAGTAAGTGTTTTAGCTTGTCCTTTTTTCAAAATCCTTCTCATAACACTGAATCTGAGAATATAAAGAAGTTGCCTGCATCTTTGGGAAGAATTGGGATTTCTGGTAACCTTGAATTAGCAGTATCTGCTATGACATATTGTTAATCGGAGAATTAATGGCAAGTCTGATACTGGCACAGTGATTGAGTAGAATAAGGAGATTATCAAAGGAATTGAAGGTGTATTGCAAGGAAATATTTCTCTCGCAGAGCTTTTTGAATTAAAAAAAAAACTGTTAGAACAAAAAGCAAGTTTATAGTTTCATTGGGCCTCTTCTAAGGTTTTCTTGGTAATTGTATTTTTGTAAATATTTTAAATATAAGGCTGGTAATATTTGTTCCAATAGTAATCGGGAACTAAAAGTACCTTTTTGTTTATGTAATTATGTTACATAATTGATTTTGTAAACTGTTTTCATTCTACTTATTACTTGTGTGTATATTTGTAATTCTAGTTAAGTGAATCATAAATATAGTTATGAACCATTTGATTATCAAGATAAATATGTTTTATAATATTTCAGTTTCAGAAAACTCAGAGCCATATTTAATAATTTATTTTTCTTTGAGCAGATCAAAATTTGAATAGCTTAAGTATTTCAGAACTTCTCTTTATATGATAGATTTCATTCCTAAGGTTTTCCATTTTTTCTTTTTCTCTCTCTTTTAGTTTAGTTTTTTTTTTTTTTTTTTTTTTTTTTTAAACTTACTTGACAGGTAGAGTTAGACAGTGAGAGAGAGAGACAGAGAGAAAGGTCTTCCTTCCATTGGTTCACTCCCCAAAATGGCCGCTGTGGCCGTCGCTGCGCTGATCTGAAGCCAGGAGCCAGGTGCTTCCTCCTGGTCTCCCATGCGGGTGCAGGGCCCAATCACCTGGGCCATCCTCCACTGCACTCCCGGGCCACAGCAGAGAGCTGGACTGGAAGAGGAGCAGCCAGGACTAGAACCCAGCGCCCATATGGGATGCCGGCGCCGCAGGCAAAGGATTAACCAAGTGAGCCATGGCACTGGCCCCTTCTCTTTTAGTTTTTAAAAATATGTATTTATTTATGGCCGGCGCCGCGACTCACTAGGCTAATCCTCCGCCTGTGGCGCCGGCACCCTGGGTTCTAGTCCCGGTTGGGGCGCCAGATTCTGTCCTGGTTGATCCTTTTCCAGTCCAGCTCTCTGCTGTGGCCCGGGAGGGCAGTGGAGGATGGCCCAAGTGCTTGGGCCCTGCACCTGTGAGGGAGACCAGGAGGAAGCGCCTGGCTCCTGGCTTCAGATCGGTGCAGCACACTGGCCGTAGTGGCCATTAGAGGAGTGAACCAACAGAAGGAAGACCTTTCTCTCTGTCTCTCTCTCTCTCTAACTCTGCCTGTCAAAAAAAAAAATTAAAAAATAAGTTTATTTTGATATAAAATATTTTTAAATTGATGAATGGTTTTTCCATAATACACATTTTCCGTGAACTTTGTGAAGACCTCTCATATTCTCTTACCTGCCTAGACTCTTCCATCAATTTAGAAAGTAAGGTACCTTGGAGGAGGAAATTTGGGTCATCTGAAGAGGCCATTTAAATCTGCTACTGATTTCAACTCTGAGGGCTGAATTTAGAATTATTTTTCAGTTTAAGGAATTTATTAATATTATATGCTTGGGGTCACAGTAAATACATGATAATAACTACAACACAGTTCCCATCAAGTCTCATGTTAATGTGGTATTAATATAAAGAAAACAGCTTCAATGTAGTTTATAGATATAATTCTAATAATGTAATGATACTTCCCCCCTTCCCCCTTTTCTCCCTCCCTCCCTCTTTAAATTTTCAGATGGCAGTGCTTTGTAGTGTTCTGAGCCTACTGTGGGTGCTTGCTCCGGTTAGTTAACACTGGGCTTCATTTAAAGGATTTTATTGAAACTAAAAATGGCACCAGGAAAGTCTTGAATTCAAAAGCACCCTCCCTTCTCTCGAAAACATTGAATATCCCTTTTGAAGTTTGGGATTGGCTGGTGTGGCAAAGTTTGGTTTGCCGTAAAATTGCTTACAATATAGGCACACTGGCAGGGCCATTGTGGCTGAAGATGATTACTGGACAAGTGGTGCCTTGAGCATTTTCTTAGCACTGGTTTTAGTGTCTCACAGACATTCACCTGGAAGCCTGCCCTGGCATTGTGTTACGGTTCTTCGCCAGCTCTGTTTGTCATGATTGGCAAGTCACCTGCAGCCTCTCGGGCTGATTTCTCCTGTGTGACAAAATAGAGCTGCTCTCACTCCTGGAGCAGCGCTGTCCAGCTGGCCATGGAGGCACAGCTTTCTAGGTGTGCTGCTCAGTGCGGTCAGCCCTGAACGCGTTGGGTCCTTGAAATTACACTGTGTGTGTAACTAGGGAGCTGTATATGACTTTCATTTTATTTCAACTTAAGATTGCCACATGTGGGCCGGCACCGTGGCTCAATAGGCTAATCCTCCGCCTGTGGTGCCGGTACACTGGGTTCTAGTCCCAGTCGGGGCACTGGATTCTGTCCCGGTTGCCCCTCTTCCAGGCCAGCTCTCTGCTGTGGCCAGGGAGTGCAGTGGAGAATGGCCCAAGTCCTTGGGCCCTGCACCCCATGGGAGACCAGGAGAAGCACCTGGCTCCTGCCATCGGATCAGTGCAATGCGCCGGCCGCGGTGGCCATTGGAGGGTGAACCAACGGCAAAAGGAAGACCTTTCTCTCTGTCTCTCTTTCTCACTGTCCACTCTGTCTGTCAAAAAAAAAAAAAAAAAAAAAAAAAAAGATTGCCACATGTGGCTGATGGCTGCCGACCTGGACAGTGCAGCTCCTGAGAGTGATCCCAGGTGTGGATGCTGTGAAGGGCTGGAGGGCTCATCAGTTCTGAATCCCCTCAGACACCTTCCTTGAGTTAGTCAGTGGACTGTTTCTGTGCCTTAAAAACTAAACCAGCAAATTCTAGAGTGAGTTAGCATTGATTCATTTTGCTTTCATGGGTGGAAGAAGCATTGGCGTGGTTACAACTTGCATTCTTTGTGAGAGTCTGTGTGTTTTGACAAGGGCTCCCAGCTTATAGACCAGGTATTCTTGCATGCATGTGCCAAATTTAAACTTAATATATTTAAATATTAGGTTCTCTAATACATTCATTGTCGTCTTTCTTGGATTTTAGGAGACACTCCATTTTATGCAGATTCACTTGTAGGAACTTACAGTAAAATTATGGATCATAAAAATTCACTATGTTTCCCTGAAGATGCAGAAATTTCTAAACACGCGAAGAATCTCATCTGCGCCTTCTTAACAGATAGGTAATGTCCACCGGATTTCTTTGTCGAGAAGCCCCTTTACCTTGAGATGTGTAGCAGTGAGAACATGCCTAACTACTCACAAATGAAACCAGCTCTCTCGTTATCCCAGTTGCCTCAGCGTTTGCCTTTTCCTGTGCTACACCTGGAGTTGGATTCCCCTCTCCTGTTATGTGCAGCAGCACAGCCGTGAGCTAACTCTCCTTAACCCAGCAGAGAACAGAGCTTGGTACATCACCTGTCTGAAAGTGTGAAGCTTTTGTGTTATTCACATTTTAGGTCTAAGGTGATTAGTCCATGTTACCCTTGACTGTAGCACTTGTGTAGATAAATCACCAACAGTTTGTAGTCTTCACAGCTATTTGTGCTCCACCTGGAGGTGCCGTTTTCTGGACCCTTTTATTTGCATTTGGATATGAAAAATCTATTCTGGGAATTCTGTACTTTAAAAAACAAAATAGATGACAAAGATGTGAAAGCTTTGTTCTGAAAGGGGAGCTAGAAAGCTGCTTGGGCCTGTTCCGCCTTCCTCTCTGCTGCTCCGTCCTCTGTGGTGGAGGCCGCTGGCAGGACCAGCACAGATGCGCGCTGCGTGAGCGTGCTTGCGCTTCCGCTCCAGCGCTGAGTCACTGGCTTTGGGGTCTCGGGGAAATGAGTACATCTTTTGGGAAATGGTTTTACTGATCCATAAAGCGACGGGCTCAAGTTAGGTAACTAAGGGCGTTTCTAGCTCTGCTACGCCGTCACTCCTCCGCTCACCTCACTCGTCAGCTGGTCGCTGTCACACAGTACGGCAGTGAATATTCTCTTAGGTTCATCTTTGCGTACTTTTTGTAGGGTAAAGTCTCACAGGTGGAATTCTGGATATGTATTGTGTGTGTGTGTATATATACATGAACAATAACTGTTCCTCTCATTGAAGTGAACATAAAAAATGTTCATCAGAGCCAGGGAACATTATTTTGTCTTTTTTCTTCATTATAGAGGGTAATAATCATGTGTTTATCAATAGTGTAAACTAAAACTTTAAAAGTTTTAATTATATAATTAGTGAACAATTAATGCTGATAATTTCAAAACATAGCCTGTATTGTGTTTCATTTGGAGTTGGTAGGAATAACTATAAGTGTTGATGAATGGTAAGTTATAAAATAAGGTATATTGTGTGTTCATGAAAGGAGTGCTAATTCTGAAAGATTTTCTTTAGCAACCACTAGGGTGGGGGAGGTACAGTAAGAAATAATTATAAATTAACAACAGATATTTTGAAAATAGTTTAATGCCATAAATGTAACTAGGAGCATTTCTCTTTAAAGTCTACAGACTTTCCTTTTTATTTAAACATAGCTCCAGGGCCATACATAAAATAGATGCTCTCTATTTCCATGCACTCTTCGTCGAAAACTCAGGGTCAAAAAATGAAACTCTTAGTAGCATTTTTCTCGTGTTAAGATGGTGATTTTAATATAAATATAGAGATAGAATTCATCACAGTAAATATCAGTAGCTCCGGATACAATGTGTGAGTTTTTTTTTTTTTTTAGGAAGAAAATAACTTTTAAAAGACATTTTTCTGTGGAGAGTTTTGAATGCCTTGTCTGTGCTGGAAGCCGGACCGTGCCGGCCTCCCTTGAAGGAGGTTGCTCGTGTGATTTGGCACGTGCGAGAGGGTTTTTTACTTGAAAGGCTCATGGACACAGATCCAACGGACACGGACAGCAGGCAGCGTATATTCCACTTTCTAGGGCATGACTGCATCGCAGGCTTCCTCATGGATCTGGAGCGATCGGAGGATATAAACTGGGTGGCTTATTTTGGGGAAACAGTTAGGCTGAAGCTTTTACTAAGAATATCTCAAATTCATGTGTTGTCTTTGTTCTGGCTAAACTGTTGAGATGAGTTAATATTTTTATTTTTTCATAATTTTATTTTTATAATACAATCTTTAACTGCATTATTTAGGGAGGTACGACTTGGGCGAAATGGGGTAGAAGAAATCAAACAGCATCCTTTCTTTAAGAATGATCAATGGAATTGGGATAACATAAGAGAGAGTAAGTCAATAAATTAAATATTTCCATTCCATCACATTTTAAATCATATAAATAGATCCCTCTTTTGAAATAACAATCATGTTTGAGACCCCTTAATACTAACTCATTTTTAAATTGAGAGCTTTCATTTCACGTTTGTCCTGTGGCAATATTTATAACTAAATTAATATTTTCTCACCATTTTAATAAACATACATATTTATTAGCAGTATTTCCCAATGCTTTCATTATATTCATGTCAATAAGCATTATACATTTCTTAATATTCACAGTTGAGTTTTGTGGGTATCAATACTTTTTCAGAATAGGGAAATACTCTATTAATTTGAATTGATAAATTAGAATTATGTGTGGAGACTGTGTCCTGGTAAGGCACAATGCAGTAATTCAGTTCTATGTCATGTACATATGATATTGATTCACTTTAAAGGTAAGAAATATTTCTGCTTAGAGAAGTAGAAAACTGAGCACCCTACAGAATAATTGTGCAAGTAATTGTTGCTTGTAAATTTCAACACCTAGAATAATATCATATACCTTTCCCTTTTAAATTGATTAATCTGTATTTAAAGGTGATCTCATAGTAATAAATTACTAAAATTTCAGTTGTACAAAATGATAAAATGAAAGATGCAATGAAATTTGATGTCAGTATAATTAAGCATTATTAAAGATATGTATTGATTTATAATAAAACAAGTAGGGTGGCTTATATTTTGCATTTTGGTTATGAGTGAAATAATTCATTTCTTTTCTTTCGATTAGCGGCAGCTCCTGTGGTCCCTGAACTCAGCAGTGACATAGACAGCAGCAATTTTGACGACATTGAAGATGATAAAGGCGATGTGGAAACCTTCCCGATTCCTAAAGCTTTTGTGGGAAACCAGCTGCCTTTTATAGGATTTACCTACTATAGAGAGAATTTGTATGTGATTTGGTTTTAAATTTTATTCTTTTCGGAGTCTACCAATAAGATGATAATACTTTTTTGAGATGACATATATCAAATAGTGTTAACATGTTTTAAGTTTTTGAGTTTTTCTTAAAGGATTGTTGGAAAATTATTTTAAATTTCATTTTATTTTGTTTCTGAATATTATGTTCATTTACCTTGAGTACAAGGCACTTTTTTGTGTGGAAGATTTATTTGTCATAAAGCGAGAGGAAGGGAGGCAGGGAGAGATCTTCTCCAAAGAACTCCATTCAGGTCTCCCATGTGGGCAGCAAGGGCCCAAGCCCTTGGACCGTTTTTGACTGCTTTCTCAGGCGTATAAGCAGGGAGCTGGATTAGAAGCACCAGTCAGCACTTAAACTTGGGCTTATTTGGAATGCCAGCATTGCAGCGGTGGCTTAACCCACTGGCACAACACCAGCCCTGCAAGGCAGTGTTCTGTATTGTTTGGGCATGTAGAATAAAAACAAGGACCTGCTTTTGTTGGAGCTTGCCATTTCATGAAGGTTGTAAGAGAATTATATTGTCTTAGAGTAGGGTAGAGTGTGATACTTTGCCTTAAAAAGATGTGATGAGAATTTGAGGTGGTTCAGAAGAAAAAAGCCGTAGTTGTTTTGAGTGGATGAGGAGAAGCCAGGGAAGACTTCAGGGAGAGGTAGCATGCTTCGCCAAGTCTAAGTCTATCGGAACAGTTACCATCCCTGATGTAAATGGCTAAGAAAGGGTTTTGGATGGCCAGGGTGCGAGGATGTTAGGGGAGGCAGCAGAGTGGCGTAGTCCAGTAGGGCTCGGCTGTAGGGCATTTGACTGTATCATGACTATTGCAGGGTTTCAGGAGACTGATTTCCTGCCTGTCCCCTCTTCATCCAGCTCAGAGCCTGGCACAGGCCATTCAGAAATTATTGGTTGATTGAAGTGAGTGTTGACATAAGCAAGTACAGTGGAGTTGGAGTTTCAGAGAAGAATAATGTAACAGAGTATTGCTGTATGCTTTGGGAAGGGACTTTTGATTAATAGTCAGTGAGGGGCTGGTGCTGGGGCGCAGTAGGTTAATCCTCCGCCTGCAGTGCCAGCATCCCATATGGGCGCTGGTTCTAGTCCTAGTTGCTCCTCTTCCAGTCCAGCTCTCTGCTGTGGCCCGGGAGGGCAGTAGAGGATGGCCCAAGCCATTGAGCCCCTGCACCCGTGTGGGAGACCAGGAAGAAGCACCTGGCTCCTGGCTTCGAATTGGCGCAGCTCTGGCCATTGTGGCCACTGGGGAGTGAACCAATGGACGGAAGACCTTTCTGTCTCTCCCTCTGTCTATAACTCTACCTCTGAAATAATTAAAAAAAAAATTAGTCAGTGAGGTGCCATCACAAACTGTTAAATAGTTGAGTGAGGCGATAAAGACACCTGAGAAGCGTTTTTGATGGGTTTTGGATGTCCTTGTATGGAATTACCGGAGTGACCAACCATTAGAATTTGCCCAGGTCGGCATAGGGCTTCCATTCTGAAACCTGGAAAATTCCACGCAAACAAGGATGAGTTGGTCACCGTGGTAATGGTAATGTTCTGAAAATTATCTAATGCTGACCAAATGGGGGTGTCAGTGCCAAGGGAGACCCACGCGTGTCTAAGGGAGTGGAGAGGAGCTACAGATGGTGATTGCTGTGTTAGAGTAAGACTCAGGGATCAAGAGACGTTATCTTTGAAAATGGGTAGAAATGTCTCTTTCCAGAAGATGGGGTAGACTAAGAATAAAATTGTTATAGAAACGCAGATGAAATGAAGAGGAGGAAAGTATAGTTTATTTTGTGACTCTAGTCCTAGTAAAACTAAAGACTGGGAAAGTTTGGCTTTTTTTTTTTTTTTTTTGACAGGCAGAGTGGACAGTGAGAGAGAGAGACAGAGAGAAAGGTCTTCCTTTGCCGTTGGTTCGCCCTCCAATGGCCACCGCGGCCGGTGCACCGCGCTGATCCGAAGGCAGGAGCCAGGTGCTTCTCCTGGTCTCCCATGGGGTGCAGGGCCCAAGCACTTGGGCCATCCTCCACTGCACTCCCTGGCCACAGCAGAGAGCTGGCCTGGAAGAGGGGCAACCGGGACAGAATTCGGCGCCCCGACCGGGACTAGAACCCGGTGTGCCGGCGCCGCAAGGCGGAGGATTAGCCTAGTGAGCCACGGCGCCGGCCCAAGTTTGGCATTTTGAATCACTGAAAATGATGTGGATGTCCAGAGGGAGACGTTTATTTCTCTATTTAAATAATACATAGATATGAAAAGAAAGAGAAATTCTTTGTGCTCGCTGTTTAATTCTAAGAATAATGTAGTTGAATAAGATCAAAAATGGATTAAGATGAAATGCAAAGAAATTTATTTTCCTTCTCCTTCCTTCTAGGTTATTAAGTGACTCCCCATCTTGTAGAGAAAATGATTCTGTACAATCAAGGAAAAATGAAGTATGTGTAAATTTTTACTATGGTTACTTTAGTCATGTGTTCAAATGCTTTAGTAGTAACCCATGTTCTTTTAAGAATTCATTTAATACTACTTTTTATATCATGAGATGGCGTTCCTTGTCTAATACAGGTCAGCCTAATATTGGAGTAATTCATTGTAAGACATAGTGACTGATGTAAAGATGAATTATGCATGGCCTTAGGCTGAAGTTAGTAGCAAACATGCTGAATAGGTTTATAAACAGCTGTAATATTAGTTGGAAAGTTACGATCAGTGCTGTGAGAGCTATAAGCTATAGAAGTAGAGGATAGATTCACATTCTACGTTCATATTTAGGGATGACTGTGTGTAGTGGATAGCTTTGTTTATCAAAGAATATTTTGTGACCTCTGTTGTTTGTAAGTATATTCAAAGCTAAGTCGTACTCCTAGAGGCTGCTTTCATTTGTGGGAAAATAAAACTAAATGCTAAACATTGTTTCTTCGGACTTAGAATTGGGTAGGTTGGATGATTTTGTTAGGATTTGTGTTTCAGATATTTTACAGAACATAAAAAGAATTTTAATATTGTCTGTCTTTTGTTTTGTCTTAAATAGGAAAGTCAAGAGGTATGTTGATGTTGATGTTGTCACAAATATTGAAAACCTGAGGAAAACTAGCCCCCTACAGTGTTGTAATACAGTCGTAGCTGCCTGGTGTCACAGAGCTGCGTCTGCAAGGAGAGAAGTTCCCAAGCCTTTTTTCTACTGAGTAGCCCTTTCATTCTTGCTCCTATGAGTCTCTTGTTTAAAATACATTGTGTGTTGTTTCCTTTTTTCATTTATCAAAGCGCTGTTACTGGCAGCAGGAACTTGTGATTAGCAGGAGTGCTCCAATTGGACTAATATAGTGGCAGCCAAAAGCAGTTAAATGTGACTCTCTATTAGTCTGTATAGTCTTATTATAGGAAAATGAGAGTTTTTCTTAAGATATGTGAAGTATTTAAGCACTAGAGAGAAGAGTGGCAGGAACCTTGGCATCGGTGCTGATTGGCATTGCTGCGCACTGGCTGTTCTATCTTGAGCTTACTCATTTGTTTTGTGTTCTTTGTCAGGTAGATTAAACACTCACCATCCTTTGGGGTGCTTGTTAGATTAATGACATCAGAAAGTTAAATCCTTTAAAAAGGAAATGAAGTCGCAGATATGGATTATTTAGTGGGAGCTAGAATTTCAGCTTTGTGGCGAGGGAGAACCCTGAGTGATGACTTGGAGTTAACTGTCTTACTCCTGAAGAGCCGTTCAGTTGAGTTCTCCTTACATCCTGTGTGGTGCCCACCGCTGTGTGGGAGGTATATAATCGGAGCTTACTTTTTTCTCAGAACAATAATATGTTTTTGTGCATATTCAGATGGATATTTGTCTCTCATATAGACCTTTTATCTGCATTTCATAAGCACATATAGTGACTGTATTTTTAAGTAAATATTCTGTACAATAGCACTGGGATATCAGAAATGGTATCCTTTATTTATGATGAATTTGGCAAAAGAATCCTGCCATAATTTGAGCTTCTCAGCCATATTCACCATACATACATGTGTACCGTGAGCAAGAAAGCAAGAGACGGGGAATGTTTCCGTCTATCAGTAAGTCTCACTAAGAAGGTCCAGCAGTATTCCAATGCAGTGATGATATGTGTATTAAGTGAAGAACAAAATACATTGGCCATTGTTTTATTTTAGCCTCTCATCTTTAAATATGGACAAAAATTTTAATTACAGGTTTTTTTTGACAGATTCAGAAAAAATTATATACATTAGAAGAACACCTTAGCAATGAGTTACAAGCCAAAGAGGAGCTGGAGCAGAAGTGCAAGTATGTTTTATAGATAAATAATTACATTTAAAAATTAAAGTTTATACATTTTATTAAAAAGAAGAGCTACACAGTAATTATATAATTGTTTTAAGTGTATAGACTATGCTTTTTGTAACTTAGAATTACTTACTATTTCTTTCTGAAATTCTTTAGATCTGTTAATTCTCGCCTGGAGAAAACAGCAAAGGAGCTAGAAGAAGAGGTATAGTTGTCCTGTCCTTTTATTAACATTTTTGCTGGTAAAATCTTTGATGTCTGACTTAATTACCTACTTCTCTTAATACTTTGGTAATGCATATCTTGGTATATATATAGTAAAACCTGTAGCACTGGAGAAGACTGTTACAGGGTAACCTCCATACCCTAGGCGACTTCATTTGGTTGTATTTTTGCAAACTTGAGTTGATTTATTATGTGTAGATACTCCAAATAAATGCTTGCATTTGTATTACGGTTAATGACATGGTTTAAAAGCAGAAAGTGATAATTTTTTTTAAATTCCTATTTGTAACTTTTTTATTCAGTTAATATTAAAAATGGTAGTTCAATAGTGATGGAAAGTTTTAGGAAGTTTATCTTCCAGTATGAGCAAAATGTTTATAGTCTTGATGGCTTAGGGGAGTGTGCTATTTTACAGACACAAAACATTATTATGGTTCTAACAAAAAGTAGTGATCACTTTTCTTGAGGTCTCTCTTATTTTGAGATGACTTAAGTATTTTTGTTTGAGTTTTCATGCACACTTCCCTTAGATACTGACTTGAAGCGTTGTTTCAGATCACCTTAAGGAAAACTGTGGAGTCCGCACTGAGACAACTGGAAAGAGAAAAGGCGCTTCTTCAGCACAAGAACGCAGAGTATCAGCGCAGGGCTGAGCATGAAGCGGACAGGAAACGAAACCTGGAAAACGATGGTTTGTGGTGTAGAATGTCAAATGCTTATCAAGAAAGAAATGAGAGAGGCCGACACTGGGGTAGTAGGCTAAGCCTCTGCCTGCAGTGCCGGCATCCCGTGTGGTCGCTGGTTCAAGTCCCTGCTGCTCTTTTCCGATCCGGCTCTCTGCTGTGGCCTGGGAAGGCAGTGGAGGATGGCCCAAGTGCTTGGGGCCCTGCACCCATGTCCTGGCTCCTGGTGTAGGATCGGCCCATTTCCGGTCTTTATGGCCATTTGGGGAGTGAACCAGTGGATGAAAGACCTTTCTCTCTGTTTCTCCCTCTCTCTGTAGCTCTACCTCTCAAATAAATAAATAAATAAAAATAAGCTACTTAACAAAAAGAAAAGAAAAACATGAGAATGTGCATGTGTGTATTGTATATGTATGCATTGTGTTGGAGCTTGCCACTGAAATTTTTTTTGGTCATAGTTAACAGCTTAAAAGATCAGCTTGAGGATTTGAAAAGAAGAAATCAGAATTCCCAAATATCCACTGAGAAAGTGAATCAACTCCAGAAACAAGTAAGTTAATCTCAGTTGGCAATAAATATATTGAACTTTTTTTTGATTGCCTATTAGCATTAGTTTTAATTGGCAGTGTTGCAAAAGGCCCTTACCTCTCATTTTAGCGGAACATCCATAGAAAAATATATTCAGATTTTTGTTTGTTTTAAATAGTTTGTAATGGGATAATAAATTGACATATTTTCTATGTGTCTGACTTTGATTGGAATGACAGCTGGATGAAACCAATGCTTTGCTGCGAACAGAATCTGATGCTGCAGCCCGATTAAGAAAAACACAGGCAGAAAGTTCAAAACAGATCCAGCAGCTGGAATCCAACAACAGAGATCTACAAGATAAAAACTGCCTGCTGGAGACTGCCAAGCTGAAGCTTGAAAAGGAGTTTCTTAACCTTCAGTCAGCTCTGGAGTCTGAGAGGAGGGACCGCACTCACGGATCAGAGATGATCAGTGATTTGCAAGGTATTCGGAGTCACACTGGGCTTTTCTTGGTGATGTGTATTTTAAAGTGAACTTCAGGTGACGGACGATGTGCTAGAACAGCACATTGCTAAATATACTACTATTGTGTTCCATTAGAATATTGCAAATATATTGGTATAAAATTTTATGAATGGGAGGTTTACTTTCAAATAGAATGATCTTAAATATCAAACTCATTATGATAGTGGATTGGGTTCCAGTTAAATTAACTATAAAGTGCTATACTAACAAGTATAAAGCTCCTACTCAGAAATAACAACTCCAGAATATAAGGTGGATTCCAAATTTTTTACTCTTAATTGAATGTATATATTCTGTGGGCTTATTGTTTTTAAAATGTTGCAATTTTTAGGTAGAATATCTGGCCTAGAAGAAGACTTAAAGAATGGCAAAATCTTATTAGCAAAAATAGAACTGGAGAAGAGGCAACTACAGGAGAGATTCACTGATTTGGAAAAGGTAAAACCTGTCAATCTTCATTTTATGTAAGAAAATGATAATACAGTTTCAGATTAGAGAAGTCACTTTAAAATAAAGGAAATCACTGACTGGTGTATTTTCTCATATTTGTGGACTTTTCTATTTAGACTAAGTTGTATGGATGAGAGAGGTGTATTTTAAGGCTTCTGATAGCATCATGCACGCAGCCTGCGGTGTGCTAGGTACTCATGAAAGAAGGGACTCTCCTGGGGTGTGTGTACTGAGAACGCCGCTTTTCTCCAGCTTCGACTCATAACATGTCTAAAATTATAGAAGAGAAAGTCTGGCACTTAGAAGTCTATCTTTAAAAACACCGTGAACTAGGGATGGATTCTTGTGTCTATACAGTTATTCTTTTACTAGAAACTAGAGACGAGGAGACCAGCAGAGGCTGTCAGTAACTCGGACAAGGGGTAATGGAGAATTAAGCAGTGCAGTCGTCAGAAGGATGGAAATGGGGATGACTGAGAAATTTCTGTGGGAGGAATATTTGGCAGCACTGAGGAATGGAGTGGGTGAGCCATGTGACTAACAAGGATAAATCTCAGGTTTGTCAGTTATGATCAGATGTATAGTGGTGCCGTTAATTCACAAAGAATAAAGGAAAAATACCTCTTTAGAGGAGACAATGAAAATCCATTTTAGTCTTCTAATATTTGAAGTGCCTATGGGACAGCCAAAATAGAATATCTTCAAGGCAGGAAGCTATAGCAACAGACACTAGGAATATTCGATAATCAGTGGTGTGTAGGTAGCTCAAGCATGTGAACGGAAGACCCCAGCTGGGAAAAGCCTATGTGTAGCAGTGATCTTTTGGAGCAGAGTTAATTACTCTGCTGGTGGATTATGTGGTCTGGAAAATCATTTTTAGTGTCAAAGATTTTATTTGAAAACAAGAGATAATCATATCATTTGTGATATGAACTATCGAATCAGTGAATGAGAAAATCCTTGGGGTGTACCTCTAGAAAACAGACTGACTTCTATTATGACGATTCTCAGAGCAAGTCTGTGGAGTGGGGATTATGGACGAGTGGTGGTGGGTCTTGAGGGGTTTCAGATTTAACAGAGGAAAGTGTTGGCTGTGTCTTACAAGTTTGAGAAATAAAGGAGGAGGAGGAGACACGTCACAGCAAACCCCGCATCCGACGGCTGGGGAAGGGGAAGTGCCAGCAGCCCAGCGCTGGGGCGTGGGGGCCAGTGGGGGGTGGCGAGGGCTGGCTTCAGAGCAGCGCTGAGCCTGAGTGAGGGAGGCTGGAGGGCGCTCTCGGAGGCGGATGTTGGGAAGAGTGTCGCTCGCTGTGTTGAGGTTACACGGTCTCGAGGTAGCGCTCCAAACGAGCCGAGTGGAGGTATGGAAGACGGATGCTGGGGGATGGAGTTCACCATTACATGGAGTCGAGATGAGGAGAGCAAGGGAAACACTGGACACTAATTAAACCTGTTAAAAAACAAGTTTGAAAGTTTTTGAAATTGTGATCAGCATTTTTGATCACTGCCATTTTAAATCTTGAATAGGAAAAGAGCAACATGGAAATAGACATGACATACCAACTAAAAGTTATTCAGCAGAGCTTAGAACAAGAAGAAGCTGAACATAAGACCACAAAAGCACGGTTAGCAGATAAAAATAAGATCTATGAATCCATTGAAGAAGCTAAATCAGAAGCCATGAAAGGTATGTATTTTCTTTAAAACAAAACAAAATGTTTAGGGGCTGGTGCTGTACCGTGGCAGGTAAAGCCACCGCCTGCAGCGCCGGCATCCCATATGGGCATCGGTTCAAGTCCTGGCTGCTCCACTTCCTATCCAGCTCTCTGCTGTGGCCTGGGAAAGCAGTAGAAGATGGTCCAAGTGCTTGGACCCCTGCACCCATGTGGGAGACCCAGAAGAAGCTCCTGCCTCCCAGCTTCAGATCGGCCCAGTTCCGGCTGTTGCAGCTAATTGGGGAGTGGGTGGAAGACCTCTCTCTCTCTGCCTCTCCTTCTCTGTGTAACTCTTTCAAATAAATAAATCTTCAAACAAACAAACAGTTATTTGAGAGGCAGGGAGAGAGATCGCGGCCCCGTCAGCTGCTTCACTCCCCACATGCCTGCAGTGGCCTGGACTGGGCCAGGCTGAAGCCAGGAGCTAGGAATTCAGTCCAGCTCTCCCATATGGGTGCACAGGACCCAGCTACTTGAGCCATCACCTCTTTCCTCATACAGTGTTTGCATTAACAGAAAGCTGGATTTGGGAGCGAGGCGGGACTCAACCCCAGGGACTGTGATGCGAGGTTTGGTGTCTACTAGGCTGCACACATGCCCCAAGAGAGAGAGAGTTCTGTAGCAGCATTTTCCAAAAAACTGACTTAGTGTTTGAACTCTTTGGTTTAGAAAAATATTTGTTTATATTTTATTGTCAAATATTGGGAACTGTCGGGAAACAAAGCTATTAGGGAAGTGTATCATTGCCTTCTTGGATTGTGAACTCGATTTACCGAATAGTGACTGGCAGTGTGACCTTGTCCAAGCACTTAGACTCTGTGCCTTGCTCTCAGGAGAGACAGTGGTGGTGGTAGACTGCTGTGCAGCGGCGCCTGTGATGGGCCAGGAAGTGCTGGCTGTGACTCGTTGTAAGCACAGAGTATTTTGTTCTTCAGCACTTCTGAAGACCATTATTAAAACCTGAGAATTCATAGATTTAATTTTACCCAATACAGCTTTATGATGGATGGTAATTAAATGTTGAGCATCAGGTGAGAAGGAGCAGAGGCGCCCTAATTGGATTTGGACTGAAGTGCTGATCAAACAATTATCCTGTAACTTTAACAGCAATAATCCTGTAACTATAAACAATAGTCTTTTAACTATAATAACTTATTTAATATGGAAACTACGTGGTTAGACACAAACTTGGCCTGCTCTTCAGTTTGAGATGGAAGAGGCCTTTGAAAGTCTTTTCTGGGAGCGAGGCTTTGACGCAGTGGTTAAGTTGCTGCTTGGGACAGCCGTGTCCTGTGTTGGAGTTACTAGGCTCACGTTCCAACTCTGCTTCCCTTCCTGCTTCCTGCTGATGCACATGCTGAGAGGAAGCAGGCGATGGCTCACGTAGTTAGGTCCCTGACACTGAGTGTGCATAGACTCAGGTTCAGTTCCTGGCTCCTGCCTTTGACCTGACCCAGCCCCCGCTCTGTGAACATGTGGGAAGGAAGCCAGTGATTGGAAGATGAATCATTCTTATACTCCCTCTCTCTCTCTCTCTTCCTTCCTCCGTTCTTCCCTCCCCCTTTAACTTAATTAAACAAAAGGTTTTTAAAAATAACTATCATTTCTGGTTATGAAAAGTACATTGTAAATTATTTAGGAAAATAAAGAAAAGTTTAAAGAAAAAAGCAAAGATTACCCATAATCCTGCTAATCAGGATAGTATTTTGTGTATTTTCTCCATTTTCTATACTTTTTTTAATTAAAAAACTAACATTGTGGGCATTTTCTTAGATTTTTAAAAAATTTTATTTATTTACTTGAAAGGCAGAGTTACAGAGAAAGAGAGATCTTTCATCCACTGGTTCACTCTCCAAATGCCCCAATCACCAGGTCAAAGCCAGGAGCCAAGAGCTTCCCCTGAGTCCTGTATGTGTGGCTGGGCCCAAGGACACGAGCCGTCTTCTGCTTTCCCAGGCTGCATCAGCAGAGAGCTGCATCGAAAGTGAAGTAGCTGGGACAACCAGCACCCATGTAGGGTGCTGGAACTGAAGACAGCCACTTAACCTGCTGCAGCACAGAACCCGCCCCTTTCTCAGGTCTCTAAAAATTCTCCTTAAATAATGTGCCAGGCAGCGTCTAAGCGTCACACATGCATCAACTTGAAATATTCATAGCATTCCTAGAAGTGTAATACTGTTATCTCCAACCTAGAGGTAAGGAAACAGGCCCAACGAGGTTGATTTGTGTGATTAAATACTTAGTGTCAGCCAGGGCTTAAAGGGAGTTTAATGCTAGAATCCTGTCCTTTTTGGTCTCCCCAAAACATAATTTCAACATCTGCATGATAATATGTGAATATGGAGTGAGCTGAGAAGTCATAGAATCTGCCTGGAATGTTTTAAGATAAAATAGTAATGAGAGACACAGAGTAGCAAGAAAATGGGTCTTTATTTAAAATTTACACATCCTACAGAACTGTAACTAAAGGCAGGATTATCCTTCATCCATTAAGAACGTGTAACATTGTACAGTATGGTATTTTTAATACCCTGCAAATGAAGCTCCTCTAATTTTCAGGCATAGAATTCCTGACATTTTAAGTATATTGAGAGGAGTGGAAGTAATAAGAATATAGTCATGAAGCAACATCGTTCACTGTAATGTTTGTTAGCACTGTGGCATACATTTGACATGCTTCTTTTAGTTTCAAATTCTTGATTATCTCCATTTTTATTATGCTAGAAATGGAGAAGAAGCTCTTGGAGGAAAGGACATTAAAACAGAAAGTGGAGAACCTGTTGCTGGAAGCTGAGAAAAGATGCTCCCTGTTAGACTGTGACCTCAAACAGTCACAGCAGAAGCTGAGTGAGCTCCTCACACAGAAAGATGTGCTGAACGAAGATGTACGTGAGGCGTCAGCTAGTTCATAATAAACCAGTTAGTGACTTAGTGGGAAACTGGGTTTAATTGAGACGGTCTATTCATGCGTTAATAATTTTTTAAAATTTGTGTTTGAGTTAATGCTCTTTATATGTCATTGGTTTTATTGAATTTCAATGCTATGGTAAATGACTCATAACTTAATAGTTTCTAAAGTTATTTTACCTTAAAGATCATATTTTATTTTAAAAATATAACATTCCTAGAAAAATAATACATATTTCAGTATGAACTGAATTTAACTGCCTCCTGAGACAAGTGTCTGTCTTATGGCACCATCCTTGCTACCAGATTCACTAATAAGAAAAATCACAATGATTTACGTAAGTCCCAAGTATTGAATGTATTTTTTAGGTTAGAAACCTGACATTAAAAATAGAGCAGGAGACCCAGAAGCGCTGCCTCACCCAGAACGACCTGAAGATGCAGACGCAGCAGGTGAGCAGCCTGAGGGTGTCGGAGAAGCAGCTGCGGCAGGAGAACAGCCACCTCACGGAGGTGAGAGTGAGCCTGGAGAAGCAGAACGCGGAGCTCCGCAAGTAAGTGCGCTCCAGGCAGGTCGGCTCACGTGAGTGGCTCCTGGGCCCCCGGGGGTTTTCTTCTGGCTGTTTTACTCTCTTGACCAGTTTGTCTCCCTGCCAGCATTTGACTGCTGCCACCTAGCTGTGATGTGATGACAGGGCAGGTGTGGGAGCTGCATCACAACAACGCCTGGGGCTTTGCCTCCTTGCTGGTGCAGTTCGGCAGTCACCCCGGCCCCCCCCCCCCCCCCCCCCGCCCCGCTCGCTCTCCGGGGGCTGGCTTGTTTCTTTAGTTTCTTGGACTTGGGTTGTTTGAAGATTAAGCAAACATCAAGTAAATTTTAATCATTTCATAGGATATACTGTAATACTCAGAAAATAAGAAAACGTATTCGCATACATAATGGAAACAAAAAAATTCAATAATAATATTAAATCAATATTAAAATTTGTCCCTTTCTTTTAAAAAAAAACATAATAAAAAAAACATGTATTTATTTATTTATTTGAAAGGTAGAGTTACGCAGAGGCAGAGAGAGTGTGTTGGGGGGGCTCTTCCATCTACTGGTTCACTCCTTAGATAGCAGCAACAGCCAGAGCTGTGCTGATCCGAAGCCAGGAACCAGGAGCTGTTTCTGAGTCTCCCATGTGGGAGCAGGGGCCCAAGCATTTGGGCCATCTTCTGCTACCCAGGTCATAGCAGAGAGCTGGACGGGAAGTGGAGCAGCCGGGCTTGAACTTGTGTCCCTATGGGATGCCAGCACTGTAGGCGGCGGCTTTACCTGCTACGCCACAGCACCAGCCCCCCATTCTTTCTTTTAGTAGTACATTATTCCTTCCCATCATGACCAAAAGTTTACACTGGATCCCAGTCATTCAATGAGAGGCAAGGTGGAAAAGACGTAGGCGTTGGAGCCAGACAGACTGCAGAGTGAATGTCAGTTCCGCTTCTAACTAGCTAATCAGCACTGGCCAAAATGTTTGACCTGTCTGAGCCCTTTATCACTTCTGTAAAAGGGGGCAGTAGCAGTTTGCTTGTTAGGTATCTGCTGTGATAATGATGGATTTAAAGGCTGGAGCACACAGTGAGTAGGTAGGGACAGTCACCACCATCGCTGTTGGTGTTGCTGCTGCCATCGGTGCTGATTGCCTGCCTTCACGCGCCTGTGACAGGTCAGTAAGACTGACACTGGCTGGAGAAGGGTGGTCAGATACTCAAGTAGCCTTTGTTCTTTTTGGCAATTTATTTATTGCCAGGTAAGCCTAGACTCTTAAACTTCATGAGATTTCCTATTTTAAAATTAGAACTAGATATTGGATCAGTATTCAGATGTTCTTTTCTTTGCTCCTGTTTTCCTGTATATTAGCTTTATTTTCATTTTAGCCTGGCCTTTTCCATTTAACAGAAAAACTGGCCACTGCTAGCCTAGAGGTATGTCGTGTAGCCTCATTTATTTGGAGAGATCTTTATTGACTACTGGATACCAGGCTCCGAAAGCACTGAGTCCTGAGGTGGGACTCCCTGGGCCTCTCTTTGGTTGAGAGCCTCCACGTGGACCCTCGGCTCTCAAGAACATGCTCTTGGCACTACGTGACGGACTGCTCTCTCTGATATCTATCCTAGCATCTATTCTATAGGAATGCAAGAGCCAGTCAGTCAGTCTGATTGTGTTTCCTTCCCTGTTCTAATAGCATTTGTTTATGTTTAATTTATAGTATGTCATATGTTTGCCTCTTATTTTCTTTATAAGTCCACATGGCTCAGTTGTTTCTTAAAGAAACCCATGCTTACCGTTAACCTCTTAATACATTACAAGTTTACTGAATGGCAAAAATCATTGTTATATTTTCTTCTCACTAGTCCGATTAATATCTTACACATCCTTAATGAATGCTGTATGAATGAATGCATTCCTGTCATGTCTGAGTCTTTGTAATAGTGGCTCTGGGAGATACAAAGATCACTCAATGCATTTCCCACCCTTGAGAAACTTATAATTATTTTATCAGAAGTTCTTCTGTGAGGAGATAACACAGGTGTATAAATAATTAGGGTACAAGAGATATAAGCAATTGAAATTTACATATGCAGTGCTATGTAGACTTCCTCTTATTTATTTGTTTTAAAAATTTTATTTATTGGAGAGAGTGTATGAACTATGAACTGGTTCACTCCCTGAATGCCCACAACAGCTGCCCGGGGCTGGGTCAGATCAAACCCAGGAGCCAGGAGCTCAGTCCAGGACTCCCATTGGGGTGGTAGGGACCCACCCAGCTCCTTGAACTCTCACCACTGCCTCCCAGGGTCTGCATTCACAGGAAGCTGGAGTCAAGAGCTGGAGCTGTGTGTCGAACCCAGGCACTCCCATGAGAGATGTGGGCAGTTAACCGAAAGGCCGAACACCCATCCCTAGGCTTCCTTTTGTAACGGCCAACATTTGCATCCCCTCTTGCTTCTAAGATTGCAGTAAAACTCCAGTAAATAATGTTTTTTTTTTTTTTAAATATATAAGCCTACTACAAGAGTGCAAACAGGTTGGAGGTCAAGCAGGTTTTTCAGCAAAGCAGATAACAGCAAGTAGATGTGTGTCTTGTGACTAATGAAGTAGAACAGAGGAAGCAAGGAGTGTGTATGCAGTGGGATATAGATGAAGAAAAAAACATTTTAATTTTCAAAGAGAATAATCTGAAGAACTGGAATAAGATGCACCTGTAAGTGGAATAGCCTGACAATCACCCTCTGCTACCTCTCCTTGCGGAAATGCCTGTGTCCAGGCACCTCCCACCACCAGGGTTCCCACTGGAGCGCTCCCCTCCAAAGAAATTAGCCAGTTAGTGAGGGTCAGCAGCCCAGAGAAAGGCCTGCTCCAGGGTGGCATTGAGGGGTCTCGCAGCTCACTGCTGGCTTCCTAACTCCAGAATTGAAGCTTGCGGCTAAAAAAGTGCCCCACATGCATAGGCATTCAGTTTTTTCTTGGTTCCTTTGTAAATAAATAACCAGGTTCCACTAAGCGTTTGAGAAAGGCCTGTAATATGAAAGAGGAAGATTGTATTAAGGAAAAAGGAAAAATGCCCCCAGAGAAAACATGTCAAGCAGTAGAAGAGAACTTCTAGAAGTTCTGAAGGAAGCATTGGACTAGTAAGATCCTGGCCAGCTGGGATGCTGTCTGCTACTTGAGAATACGTGGGTTCAACTCCTGGCTCCAGCTCCTGATTCCAGCTTCCTCCCAGTGCACACCCTGGGAAGCATCAGTGATGCAACTAGTTGAGTTCCTGCCACCCACTTGGGGGCCTGGATTGATTGAGTTCTTGGCCCTGAGCTTTGGTCTGGCTCAGCCTGGCTGTTTGCAGACATTTGAGGAGTGAACCAGTAGATGGGAGCATTCCCTCTCTGTTCTCACTCTCTGCCTCTGACCTACCTGCCTACCTACATATATACATAAATAATTTCTGTAAAACAAAAACCTAGTATGAATTTTTTTAAGATTATTTATTTGAAAGGCAAAATTTCAGAGGGAGGCGTCTTCCATGCCAAATGGCTGCAACAGCTGGGGCTGGGCCAGGCTGAAGCCAGGAGCCAAGAGCTTATTCCAGGTCTCCCACATGGGTGCAGGGGCCCAAGAACTTGGGTCATCCTCCACTGTTTTGCCAGGCGCATTAGCAGGAAGCTGGATTGGAAGTGGAGCAGCCGAGACTTGAACTGTTACGCATATGGAATGCTGGTCTGCGGGCTGTGGGCCTGACCCACTGTTCCATAGCACCAGACCCCACCAGTTTAAAGCCTCTGCCTGAAGCACCAGCATCCCTTACGGGTGCTAGTCCTGCCCCCGGCTGCTCCACAGCCCAGCCCCAGCCATTGCAGCCTTTGGGAAGTGAACCAGCGGATGCAAGGTTTCTCTCTGTCTCCGCCTCCCTCTCTCTCTCTGACTCTGACTCTGACTTTCAAATAACTAAAATAAATCTTTAAAAAAAAAAAAAAAAGGCAGGTTTAAAACCCCGCTGGTATTAATTAGCATTGTTGACAACCAGAAACAATGTAAAAGGGACAGCCAGCATAAGAGAAAGAGCTCTTAAAGAATACAAAGTACTCCCAGTATAAATTTATTAGAAAAAGTTGAAGAAAAAAATCAAAGCAATTTTACAAAATGTAGATCACAGGGGACTGATGTGGAAGATGTAGGTACGACACAATGAGACTGTCCTTGGAGTCCTAGCACCTGACCGGGACAAATCCCAGAGAGAGCTACCAATCAAGGGGAGGGAATCATTAACGGAATGCTAGAGAGGAACAGTTGAAGGAGAAAAGTTGATTGAAAGGACAATGGGGGAGCATCTGTACATGTTCTTCTGGAATCTGAGAAACAGAGAACGGGCTCATCTAACTGACCAGGAAGGCAGTGCTTCGGGTTGAGGCCACAGGAAATGAACATCTGGTTGTGCTGCTCACACAGTGACACAGCTGTGCTGGGCGCTGGGGAGAGGCTGGAGATGGCAGGAGAGCCGATTCTCAGTCACAGTAGGGAATGGTAAATTACGTCTACACTCTATGGCAAGAAATACCTGAGGTGCAGCAGTAACCCAGCGATGACAAAGGGGCTTCTCCTGAGGAAGTAGAATTGGGAGGGCATGGAGAGGAGCGGGCGAGACTGCTGTTGTCGTTACAGCTCCTTCAAGCTGTTCTGTGCTGCTGAATTGTAACCAGCGCTTGCTTGCTCCATAGCTGCTCTCTGAAACACAGTCAGCCCTTTGTGTCCGTGGGCTCCACATCTGCAGAGTCAAAAAAGAATGAAGCTGTGCTGAACATGTACTGACTTGCTTCTTGTCGTTATTCCCTAAATAATGCAGTATTGACAGCTGTCCACATGGCATTTGTTTTATTTGTTAGCATAAGTAACCTAGAAAAATACTTTTAATAAATACCTAGTGTTAGATTTTTAAAATTTCATATAAGGACACTTTAAAAGGTTGGTGGAGAAACAATTAAAAGTTCATTTTAATGCAAAAATTTGTTTTTGAGATATATTCAGGGACGTGCACCATGGCTCACTTGGCTAATCCTCTGCCTGTGGCGCCAGCATCCCATATGGGCGCCAGGTTCTAGTCCCGGTTGCGCCTCTTCCGGTCCAGCTCTCTGCTGTGGCCCGGGAGTGCAGTGGAGGATGGCCCAAGTGCTTGGGCCCTGCACCCGTGTGGGAGACCAGGAGGAAGCACCTGGCTTCTGGCTTCAGATCGGCGTAGCTCTGGCTGTAGCGGCTGTTTAGGGGGTGAACCAACGGAAGGAAGACCTCTGTCTCTCTCTCTCATTGTTTAACTCTGTCAAATAAAAAAAAGGATACATTCGTGGTTTTTTTCCTAATATGTATTTTTGAGGCCGGTATTGTGGCACCATGTCACACCCTCAGTTGTGACGCTGGCATCCCGTATCTGAGTGCCAGCTTGAGTCCTGGCTGCTCCACTTTGGACCCAACTTCTGCTTATGTGCCTTCCATGAACATTTTAGAAGTGCCCTCATATAAGTGAATATCAGGTTTTCAAAAGATCTTGATAATTAAAATAATGTCTTGGTTTGATGCAGTTGCCTTAGCTGATGTTGGTGGGGACAACTTTAAGACTTGATCTTTCATATATATTTATTATTTTCATCTTGAAATTTTGGCTCCAACAGAAATAAGAATCACACATTCTCAGTAATATACTCTAATAAAATCAGAAATAACACGGACAAACGACATCGAGTCATTACTTCCCTTTGACCATGAGGTTTAAATACCAGTGAGTAAACAAAGTGATCAAGTTGTATGAAATGCAGATGAGAATATGAGTTCTGAGAATATGTAGATTGAAGATAGTGGGATTACATCATTTGCTGGGAGCATTTCTTGCTATATACTTTTTAAATACCCACGTATTTAAATATTTTCCCATTATAAAATTCTCATAACCATATTTTTTAAATAGAGGAAACAACATATTTCCTCTTTATGAATTCAAACATATAAACACATTGTTGGTTTAGTATGCTATTTGGTCTCAGAACCTATTTGTACTCTTAAAATTTTAAGTAGTTTTTGGTTATGTGACTTATCTAGTGCTATTCATTACGATAGAAATTACAAAATTTGAAACATAGGAAACACAAACACATTTCTTAGCTGTGGAGTGATGACACTGTCGTGTGTCATGTAGTATAGAAGTCCACAGGAACTAGGGAGGGAAGGAGAGTTTAATAAAGCAGTGAGTCGGGGCCAATGCCTGCAGTGCCGGCCTCCCATGTAGGCACCAGTTAAAGTCCCAGCTGCTCTGCTTCTGATCTGGTTCCCTGCTAATGGCCTGGGAGAGCAGCAGAAGCTGGCCCAAGTGCTTGGGTCTCTACAGCCATGTGGGACACCCAGATAGGAGTTCAGACACCTGGCTTTGGTCCAGCTGTGGCTATCGTGGCCATTTAGGGGTGAACCAAAGGTTGGAAGCTCGCTCTCTTTTATTCTGTCTCTCCCTCTATCTGTAACTGCCTTTCAAGTAAATAAATAAAGTCTCTTTTTAAAAAAGATTTATTTTACTTACTTGAAAGGCAGAGTTACAGAGAGAAGGAGAGATAGAGATATCTTCCCTCCATTGGCTCACTCTCCAAATGGCCGCAATGGCTGTGGCTGGGCCAGGCTGAAGCTGGGAGCCTGGAGCTTCTTCCAGATCTCTCACATGAATGTATGGGCCCAAGTACTTGGGCCATCCTCTGCTGCTTTCTCAGGTGTGTCAGCAGGGAGCTGGATCTCAAACTGGCACTCATAGGAGATGCCAGCATTGCATGTGGCTTTGACCACTATGCCACAATGCTGGCCCCAATAAGTAAAATCTTTAAATAAATAAGTAAAGAGCAATGAAGCTTAGTGCTACTATGAAGATGACTTAACATGATTCTCTGTGTCAGGGGTTCCCTAGACTACACTTCCAGAGCTGTCGATTTCAAAGCTTCGCAGTCTCTTTAAACTGGTTCGATGTCTCCACAGAGAACGTCAGGACGCAGATGGGCAAATGAAAGAGCTCCAGGATCAGCTGGAAGCAGAACAGTATTTCTCAGTAAGTTCCAGGCACATTTATTTGAAATTTGCTGTTTGTGGAATTTTTAGTTGTTGGTATAGAACCAGGGGAATGATTTTCTTTAGATTCTTACTGCAAACCCCAGGCAGAGTTTTAGATGGGAAGTCTTTTCCTACACTCATGTAAAAAGAGCACCTGGGCGAAATAAAGGACACAGTTTAACAGAGATCTCTTCTCACTACTAGAAAAATAGTTCTAAACGTACTGTGGGCAGACGCTGTGGCGCAGTGGACTAAACTGTGGTTGGTAATGCTGGCATCCCATATCAGTGCTGGTTCGAGTCTCTGCTGCTCCACTTAGCATCTGGCCTTGCTAATGTACCTGGGAAGCAGCAGAAGGAGCTCCTGCTTCCCTTGTGGAGTTCCGGGCTCCTGGCTTTGGCCTGGCCCGGCCCTGGCTGTTGTGGCCATTTGGGGAATGAACCAGCAGATGGAAGATCAGTTTTCTTTCTGTCTCTCTAACTCTGCCTTTCAAGTAAATAAATCTTTAAAAAGATGTTAAACCTATATCATACCATAAAGTAGACTAAAAATATATATTTTTTGATAAAGATTTACTTATTTATTGGAAAGGCAGAGTTACAGAGGGAGAGGCAAAGAGAGAGAGAGAGGTCTTCCATCCTCTGGTTTACTCTCCAAATGGCTGCAATGGCCAGAGCTGTGCCGATCTGAAGCCACGAGCCAGGGTCTCCCATGCAGGTGAAGGGGTCAAGGACTTGGCCATCTTCTGCTGCTTTTCCAGGCCATAGCAGTGCTGGATGCAAAGTGGAACAGCCGGGACTCAACCCAGTGAGCATATGAGATACCACCACTGCAGGTGGTGTCTTTGCCCATTACGCCACACTGCCGGCCCCTAAAAATATTTCTTTTTAAGAATATATTTTCACATGAAACAAAATTGCCATTTAAAATTTTTACTTGTTTGTGGCTCAGTGTTAAAATATGAGTTAGAAATTGTCACCTGTTGCACTGATTTAAGTCAGTGACTCTTCCCAAAATGAGTAATGTTTTCCCTTACATCCTCATTCATCCTACCAATTTCTAGCATTTCCTGAAAAAATCAGTATGCTATCCATTTGAAGATCATGCTCTAAATATTAGGTGAACTTTTATTAGCTTATTATTTGATGACTAGAAACCAGGAAAGCTTATTTCCATTGGTTACCATTTCAACATTAGGAAAATGTTTGCATGTGTTCACCTTCTGTCTGGAGAGATTTTGAATACAGAAATAGTGTTTCCAAGAATGGTGGTATAAATTCCTATTGTATTTTGCTGTTTAGACCCTTTATAAAACACAAGTCAAGGAACTTAAAGAAGAATGTGAAGAGAAGACCAAACTTTGTAAAGAATTACAGCAGAAGAAGCAAGAACTGCAGGACGAAAGGTCAGGACAAGCCCTTTTGGTTTGCTGATACTTGTGTGTGCTCTGCTCCTGAGCAGAGCCTGGTACTCATCAAAGTTAGTCAGTGAAGTCGGCTCAACAAAGCCTTCCACTTCGCAGTGAACAGTCCACACTAAAATGCCGTCTCTCAAACTCAGGGACTCCTTGGCCGCCCAGCTGGAAATCACCTTGACCAAAGCAGATTCGGAGCAGCTGGCACGCTCCATCGCTGAAGAGCAGTACTCCGACTTAGAGAAGGAGAAGATCATGAAGGAGCTGGAGATCAAGGAGATGATGGCTAGACATAAACAGGAGCTCACTGAGAAAGATGCCACCATTGCCTCTGTAAGTGAGGTTGTGCTACTGTTCTGCTGTATAATTAAAGTTCTGCATTACAAATCTCCTGTAGCAGCACCAAGATGGGGCCGTTGATTCGAGTGAAAGTACCCCCCGTCCTGGCTGCAAGGTGTTTCCCATCTCGGTGTTTGGCAGAGGCTTACCAAAGAATGACTTCACGTACTAGTGATTCAGAGTTAAAGGACAGAAACGAAAGCGTGAATGCCAAAAACAAACCCTTTTTAAACAGAACTTACTTCATTTTTTTAATTTATTTTTTATTTTTTGACAGGCAGAGTGGACAGTGAGAGAGACAGGGAGAAAGGTCTTCCTTTACCATTGGTTCACCCCACAATGGCTGCAGTGGCCGCTGCACCGTGCTGATCCAAAGCCAGGAGCCAGGTGCTTCTCCTGCTCTCCCATGGGGTGCAGGGCCCAAGCACTTGGGCCATCCTCCACTGCCCTCCCTGGCCACAGCAGAGAGCTGGCCTGGAAGAGGGGCAACCGGGACAGAATCCAGCACCCCGACAGGGATTAGAACCCAGTGTGCCGGCGCCGCAAGGCGGAGGATTAACCTAGTGAGCCGCGGCACCGGCCAGAACTTAATTCAAAAGAGACTTGAAACTACCATGAAGATAGTCAGTTATATGCAGGCTGATAAAATTCTAACAAATTTCAAAGAGAAGTAAAATTTCAGTTAGTTGGGCTGGCGCCGCAGCTCACTTGGCTAATCCTCCTTCTGCGGCGCCAGCACCCCAGGTTCTAGTCCTGGTTGGGGCGCCAGATTCTGTCCCCGTTGCTCCTCTTCCAGTCCAGCTCTCTGCTGTGGCCCGGGAAGGCAGTGGAGGATGACCCAAGTGCTTGGGCCCTGCACCCGCATGGGAGACCAGGAGGAAGCATCTGGCTCCTGGCTTCGGATCGGCGCAGTGGCCATTGGGGAGTGAACCAACGGAAGGAAGACCTTTCTCTCTGTCTCTCTCTCTCATTGTCTAACTCTTAACTCTGCCTGTCCAAAAAAAAATTCAGTTAGTTGGATTTAATCTATTAATTGTCCATTATTGAAATGCTGCAGCTGTTAAAACATCTGGTGTTGTATCAGGGACATTTGATGCTTTTCTGTGGAAATGTCTGTAGGGAAGCCAGAAATAGATTTATGCACATACAGGAACTTGGTATGACAAAAGTGGCAGTGTACAAGTCAATGGGAAAGGACAAAGTTTTAGTAAAATAATTCAGATGAAAAGTCGGCTAAAAGTTAAAAAGGATTTTCAGATGAAAAGTTGGCTAAAAGTTAAAAAGGATTACATAAGCAGATGCTTGCTTTATTGCTCTTCAGGAAAAGGCTAGACACAACCTTGAGACACCTTGTCATATCCATCACATGGGCAGAAGTTCATTGTGAGTACCTGCCACTTTCAAGTAGCTAAGGGAAATCCAAGAAATGGCACTGTTTACCACAAGTGGGTTAGATTTCGTGTGTTGTGGCATAGTGTAGTGTGAATAACGTGGCAGCTTCCAGTAAATTTGAAATAGGTCATGCAGTCCAAAGAAAATCCGTGTCATTAAGAGGAATATGCCCAAGAAACTCAGGTGCAATGGTTATAGCAGCATAAATGTTTGTAACAGGCGAAAACTCAAATGAATAGATTTGTTAGAAGTGGTAGAAAATGAACTCCTTACTGTATCTGGTAAACTGAATTCGTTAGATTTTGATATGTTGGCAGTTCATGTGATCACTGACAAGAATTACAGAAACGTGAATAGACATGACTTCAGTAAAGGACACTCTTAGCTCACGTGCATGCAGTGAAAGTCCGCAGTCAAGGGCAGGAAGCACGGGGCGTACTTCAGAATAAACTTCCTTCGGAGGGAAGAATAGGAACGGGATCTGGAAGGAAGGCGAGTGGATGTCGGCTTCTTAGTGAACTTGTGTTTCCATTTTATAATAGTGATCTGAAAGATACACTGTGGTTTTTTAATTTGCTTTTTTTCTCTATGATATGATGAGAATACAGAGTGTGTAATTTCTGTATTTAATTAATGTTTTTCTCATTTCATGAAACTGCTAAGGACTTAGGAAATGACAGTTTTGTAACTTCTTGAGGTACAAATGAAGACTGGTTAACATAATTTACATCAGGATAAAATTTAGTAATACAAGGGCAACAGGTGTAAAGTTGGATATACTAAGAAAAATAAGAGTCAGCAATTCTTGGATGTTTTCAGTTTGAATTTTTGTTTTATAACATATTTTATAAAATGGGATGATTTTTTCCCTCATTGTCATTTCTTAGCTTGAAGAAACCAACAGAACACTAACTGGTGATGTTGCCAATCTCGCGAGTGAGAAGGAAGAATTAAACAACAAGTTGAAAGATGCTCAAGAGCGTATGTATCACCCAAGGGCAAAATGTATTCCTTTTTTTTTTTTTTGACAGGCAGAGTGGACAGTGAGAGAGAGAGACAGAGAGAAAGGTCTTCCCTTTTGCCGTTGGTTCACCCTCCAATGGCCGCCGCTGCAGCCGGCGCACCGCGCTGATCCTGGCAGGAGCCAGGAGCCAGGTGCTTTTCCTGGTCTCCCATGGGGTGCAGGGCCCAAGCACCTGGGCCATCCTCCACTGCACTGCCTGGCCATAGCAGAGAGCTGGCCTGGAAGAGGGGCAACCGGGACAGAATCCGGCGCCCCAACCGGGACTAGAACCCGGTGTGCCGGCGCCGCAAGGTGGAGGATTAGCCTATTGAGCCACGGCGCCGGCTTAAAATGTATTCTTGATAGACACAGTATTCATTACATTTGGTAGTTCTTAGCGATTCAATATTAACGTTGTTCCACGTTTCAGAGCTGTCACGGCTGAAGGACGAGGAGATCAGCGCAGCGGCGATTAAAGCGCAGTTTGAGAAGCAGCTGCTGACAGAAAGAACGCTCAAGACTCAGGTGTGTCAGCGGGCTCCGAATGTGCTTGTACATTCTGTGTATCTCTAACGTTTGACTTCTGGATGTACACGTTGGAAGCAGAAGTTTAGTCACTCGCTGTGACACTATTTGTGAACAGTTATTTGAGTGTTCCCAGGCCGAAGAAGGCTGATTAGATTAGTGTTGTGCCGGGGCTGCCGTGTGGACTCTCGGTTCAGATGCCTGGTTCAAGTTCTGACCCCTCCCGGTTCCAGCTCACCGCTGGTGCACCTTCGGAGAGGCAGCAGGTGACGGCCCAAGTTGTTATGCCTCTCTCACCCCCACAGGAGACCTGGACTTCTTCTGTCTGTTGGAGGCATTTGGAGAGGGAGCCTGTGCATGGAACTCCATTCTCAGTCTCTCTTCTTTCTCTGTGTCTCTGCCTTCTCCTTTCCCCTCCACAAACGTGTTTACTTCACAGTCATTGAAGTTTTTCTGCAATTTTCCATGTAGACTCTCACTCATTTCCATTAAAAAACAAAGATTTATTTATTTATTTGAAAGCAGAGTTACACAGAGGGAAGAAGCAGCTGAGAGAGAGACAGATGGTCCACCTGCAGGTTCACTCCCCAAATGGCCACAATGACTGTGGCTGGGCCAGGCTGAAGCCAGGGTCCAGGGGCTTGCGCTAGGTCTCCCACATGGTGCAGGGGTTAGACCACCTTCTGCTTTCCCAGGTACATTAGCAGGGAGCTGGATCAAAAAGACACCTGTACGGGATGCCAGCATTGCAGGTGGCAGCTCTGCCTGCTACGCCACAACGCCAGGCCCTCCAATTTTACTTTTATTGTAATCCTACTTTTGCTTTGAAGGAGCTTTAGGAAATGATGGCTTGCAGGTACCCTGAGAAGGGTCGGTGGTCTGCGAAGGCACCTGCTCCCGTGACGGCCTGGGCAACACGAACACCTGTGGGACTAGACTCTCCTCCATGTTAGCCCAGCACCTCTTTCTGATGAGGTGCCAATGCAGAGTTCTTTTCCAGCAGAATAAAGGAAGAAAGATCTGCCTACAGAAGTCTCCTGGTTGAAGATTCAGAGTGGTAGAAAGTGTCACCACCTAAAGTCCGTAACCATTTTGAGTTCAGTTCTCAGAAAGCGCGAGGAGAAAGAGATGGGGAAGGACGAGCAATGAGAGAGCGAATAGAGAGAGTGAAAACAGAGAGAGAATACAGAGAGAGAATACAGAGAGGGTTCCGTCGGTGCCTTGTTATGTCGGGAGGGCGATGATCAGTGCTTGTCACTGAGAAACTGTTGATGTGTCATTTATATATTTACATGTAATTTATTTATGTGCTTGTTTTTGTGTTTTTAAGGCCGTGAATAAGCTGGCTGAGATCATGAATCGAAAAGAACCTGTCAAACGTGGTAGTGACACTGATATGCGCAGAAAAGAGAAGGAGAATAGGAAGCTACACATGGAGCTTAAATCTGAACGTGAAAAACTGACCCAGCAGATGATCAAATATCAGAAAGAACTGAATGAAATGCAGGCTGTAAGGATACTTTTTGGACTCTAGATTAAACGTTCATTGTCAGAGGTGGGATTATCCATGTTTGTGTGTGTGTCACTGTCTGTAGGACGTTTCCTTTAATAAGTGTGACTGAGCTGAGAGCAGCATTATGTCACGTTGCACAAAGTTAATTTAACTGAATTTCTCACAGCAAATAGCTGAAGAGAGCCAGATCCGGATTGAACTGCAGATGACCCTGGACAGTAAAGACAGCGACATCGAGCAGCTGCGCTCACAGCTGCAGGCCTTGCACACTGGTCTGGACAGTTCGAGCATCGGCAGCGGGCCCGGAGACGCTGAGGCGGATGATGGCTTTCCAGGTGCGCAGGCCGTCAGCCCTTCCGTTCTTCTTCACTGTTGGTCAGCTGACTGTGTGCCGTCCTGTGGCGGGTTGTGCTCCTGAGTAAAAACGAGGTTTCTTTAAGGAGTGGGATTCAATAACATTTTAGATTTACTCAATTTTTTGACAACATTTTTCATAATAAAACAGACATGCAAAAGAAAACACGTTTAGATATTTAAATTAGCTAATGGCCCTGCTCTGAGCTCACCTGTCTCCTGTGGGAGGGCTGGCCCTGCTCTGAGCTCACCTGTCACCTGTGGGAGGGCTGGCCCTGCTCTGAGCTCACCTGTCACCTCTGGGAGGGCTGGCCCTGCTCTGAGCGCACCTGTCACCTGTGGGAGGGCTGGCCCTGCTCTGAGCTCACCTGTCACCTGTGGGAGGGCTGGCCCTGCTCTGAGCGCACCTGTCACCTCTGGGAGGGCTGGCCCTGCTCTGAGCTCACCTGTCACCTGTGGGAGGGCTGGCCCTGCTCTGAGCGCACCTGTCACCTGTGGGAGGGCTGGCCCTGCTCTGAGCTCACCTGTCACCTGTGGGAGGGCTGGCCCTGCTCTGAGCGCACCTGTCACCTGTGGGAGGGCTGGCTGTCTTTGTCAGCTGTATGATTCTGTTGTCTCTTCTTTCTGCATTCTCACCTCCGTTCATGTTGGGTGTCTAGTCCACATCACTCAGTCCCACACTATGAAGTCCATGTCGTTCACCTACCAGCGCTCCTCCACTTCCCTCAATGTGGCCTCTAAGCCCTCCAGGTCTCACATGGTCTCTGACTCTGACTCTGACTCAGAAGACGCTTTGTCTTACTTACCCCTTCCATCGGAACGTAATGGCCCAGGTGACAGCCTGAGAATCTTGTCTGGAGTTCTTCCCACTGCCTTTGATTGGAGTCCTTTTGAAAATTTCTTATAACAACGACTAATATTCACTAACATGTTGCTGTAGACTCAGTTAAAAATAAACTGCTGCATGAAAGATATTTTCACATGGTGTTGCTATGCAGTTGATAAATCATTTATTTTGCCAAATTGCAAGAAATGGAGCAGTATATCATGTCACTGGAGAGTATGTGATCTCACTGCATATTTTAATCCATTTCCAACCAAGAAAGTCTTTCTGAAGTTTTCTATTGAGAGCGACAGTATAGAAGCAATTGTAGACTGTTTCAGAAAATGTGCTTAGGTTTTCCGTGAGTACTTACTTCATTGACATTTTGCCAGGCCTTTGAAAACAGCGTGAAGCAGTTTGACCTCCTGGTAGTTTAAATGCAGAAACCAGAGACTCTCTGGTTTTTCCGTGTAATGTCAAAAATGCATCCCAGATTGGTCTTTGAAGATTTCGGTTTCCTTGTTGAAATTAGGGTTATAATTCCTATTCTGTGGGGTTGTGCTGAAGATTAAAGAGAATTTATGTGAAACATTTAGCACAGTTGGCATGTAGTCAATAGTAAATATTTGATAGCTACTTTTATTATTACAATTGCCTCCTAAAATGCTATTTCACTGATTGCATTAGGAAATGCTGATTAAATGCCATTAGGACAGATTCCAAGGGTTCGCTTTTCCCTTTTTTAAACTAGGCTTTTTATTGATTTTGATATTTTAGAGTTTAGAATCCGTTGGTTATATTGCTGCTCCTTAACCAAACTTAGTTTATATTTTATTTCAATTTATAGCCATTCTCATTTTCTTTCTCTGGACATGTAATTGCTTATTTTAAATGTTTTCTTCTTGAAGATGTGTATTGATTTATAGCTAGGTCTTCTTCCAAAGGAAAAATCAATGATTCTGATGTAGGCATGCCAATGAGAGTAGAGAGCTGCTGGGTTTTTTGGTTTGGTTTGGATTTTTGTTCATTTTTGTTTCGCAATTTTTCTCCTAAGTTTTGCCAATGCATGAATTTAATCAATGGAACATTTGACTTTAGAAAACTATAGATTACCTACTTCCAATATGCTATAACCTGGATTTTGTTTTGCGTTGTGTGACTTGCTTCGACTGATTCTGTTATTATTACTGTGCCCTAGATAATATGCAGTGATTAATTTTGAAGAGCATATTTGATTGCTTTTGTGACTTCCATACTAAAACTCATTGCCTAGGGAGAGTTGTTAAGTTGACTTTCGTGTCATGCTTATTTTGTAGAATCAAGATTAGAAGGATGGCTTTCATTACCTGTGCGCAATAACACTAAGAAGTTTGGATGGGTTAAGAAGGTAACTGGGACTTCTGAATGTGATGGGTTTTTTTTCTGCTTGTGGTTTAATTCCAACCATTTTACTTCATTGCGCTTTTGTACTTGTAGAATGTACATGACCAAGTTTTAGACATACAAAACTTGCTTAAGCTGTCTGATTGGGAATGATGTGATTTTATTTGTCTTTATAAAAATGTTCTGTTCTTCACACGTTGTTAATAATAAAACAGGCATTAGTGTGAAGGAAATGACCTTGCTGACCTGGGTGTTTTTGCTCTTTCAGTAGGAAGTGAGTGCTGTATTATGGAAGATCCGTTTCTTTTCCTCTCTTACTGTGATTTTTGATGTTACTATGTGCATTTTTGTTGAGGTTACCAGCTCTTTTGGAGCCTGAAGCTAAATCGATCCAAAAAAGTTTTGACTTCATTCCCTCTGTCCCCGATTGTTATTTAAATTATCCATAAACAACATTCATTGTTATTTTAAGGAAGACTTTTCTAAAAATGTATTAAGTACTTTTTAGTTAATTAACTTCTGTTGTAGTTTATACAACTTCTAGTGCCAATATATATTTTGACAGAAAATCAATAAATCAGGCATATGATAACTTTACTCACCGTGTGGTTGCTCCCTTCCCTCTTTTCCAGTATGTGATTGTAAGCAGTAAGAAGATTCTTTTCTATGACAGTGAACAGGATAAAGAACAATCTAACCCTTACATGGTGTTAGATATAGAGTAAGTGTGTTTGCCAGATTGCTTAGAAACTGGAATCTTCTTGTCTTTTAAAGTATGAGCAAAACATGATGTTTTGTTGAGTTAATCCAATTTAGTTACAGGAGAACACAGTATAGCTCTTACTGTACTAGTGTCGTATTTTCTTACAATTCGCTTCATACAGATGAAAATCTAGGATGTAGAACTAATTAAAGCATCTCTGTTTCATGTGTCATGATGCCTGTGTGAAGCTAATTAGGAATTTCTGACTTACTGGAAAAGTCTGAAAGTCCTTAGTGATGATTGAAATAACAGACAACGTCAGTGAACTAACCTGGGCACAATGGCCAATTTTTAACTTCTATTATATAGAATATTAATAGAATAGAATATTAATATTAATATTAATAATTAACTTCTATTATATAGAATATTAATATTATGTAGAATAAAATGTAATTTGATCCTGGAATAATACTTAATTCCTTTACTCAAAATCTTTTATAGCAAGTTGTTTCACGTGCGGCCAGTCACACAGACGGATGTCTATAGAGCAGATGCCAAAGAAATCCCAAGGATATTCCAGGTAGGCACGGCTTGGTTTTGAGGGTTGGCTGGTTTTGTTCTGTTTTCACCCTTAGAGATTCTCGTGTGGCATGACATGAAATTTCTTCATTCTTTGGCCTCCTTCAAATTCCTTTCTGTTTCAGTCCTTTTGAAGATGTGCTTACTCTGGTCCATTGTCAGCCCTCCCTCTGCTTGACTTGCTACAGCTGCAGTGTGTTTGGGTCATGTTTCTGGGTTTATAGTTCTATTTTTCAGGTTGAGTATAATTTTTTAACCATGAACTTTCTGTTATAGGTTTTATGCTCAGCCTGCTGGAAAGTTAAAAAAATGTAACTTAAATTTAGTCTGATAGCCCTTTTACTTCCAATTTGAAGTGAAGCCAATTCTCTTATTCCTTCCACTTAGCAATTAGTCACACCAACAAGTAGCTGCTGAGTTCTGTGTGTGACGGCCTCTGTGTCCTGTGCTGTTGGGCAGCTGTCCCCTGCGTTCGGGATCTCACCTTGTTGACGTGGAGTGCACTGCACGTCCTCGCCTCTCCCCTCTCAGCCGTGCAGACTGCTGTCACCGGCTTTTCTGTTCTTAGGAACTGTGAAAGCAGCTAGTGCAGTTGCCACATTTCTTCAGGTGATTATTGTGAATAGTGCCTCCCAGGAAAAAAAAACAAATAAAATAAACGAATACCCTGGAGCACGAATCTGCGTCTTGCTGGCTGTGTGATGGTGGTGTTGGTGCAGAGTAAGAGGCTGCACAGAAATGGGTGGCAGCATCTGAGCGGGAGCAGTTCCGACGTGGAGACCGAAGTGACTTCATTCTCACCTGCTCTCCATTAGGCAGAAGCTGGTTGAGTTTGAGCTTCAAATGCGTTTTCTTTCTTCTCATCGAATAATTCAGACTAGTTTTAGTTTTTTAACACTATCAAAGTTGTCATAAGAAGATTTTTAAAGAAATCACTCATGGTTCTTTTTGCTGTTTATAGATTCTGTATGCCAATGAAGGAGAGAGTAAAAAGGAACAAGAATTTCCAGTGGAGCCAGTGGGAGAAAAATCTAATTACATTTGTCACAAAGGACATGAATTTATTCCTACTCTTTATCACTTCCCAACCAACTGTGAGGCTTGTATGAAGCCATTGTGGCACATGTTTAAGCCCCCTCCAGCGTTAGAGTGCCGGCGCTGCCATATCAAATGTCACAAAGATCACATGGACAAAAAGGAGGAGATCATAGCTCCTTGCAAAGGTAAATAGGAAATTGCTTGCTCAATCAATATTATGTATGTTCAGCAAATCATTTTAAGCACGCTAATTTTTTTCACACATTTCTTTATAGTGTACTATGATATTTCGACGGCAAAGAATCTGTTGTTATTAGCAAATTCTACAGAAGAGCAACAGAAGTGGGTTAGTCGGTTGGTGAAAAAGATACCTAAAAAACCCCCAGCCCCAGATCCTTTTGCACGGTCTTCTCCTAGAACTTCAATGAAGATTCAGCAGAACCAGTCCATCAGAAGGCCAAGTCGACAGCTTGCCCCAAACAAACAAAGGTAATAAATAGAAATGTGGTAAAAAAGCTTTTAAAAATCTGTTTTGCTATTTGTATTCAAATTACAAATTTTCCTAATTATGGTTTTCGTTTTCTTTATAATTTAATGAACCACAGAATGCCAGTTTATTTCCAAAGTATTTGAGCAGCAGAGAAAGGGAGGGAGAGAGAGAGACAGACAGACAGACATGGAAACAGAGTTTCATCCATTGGTTCACTCCTCAGATATCTCCAACAGCCAGACTTGGGTCAGGCCAAAGGAGCAGGGAGTTCAGTCTGGTCTCAGGGACCCAACTGCTTGCTTCCTCCCGGGCTAGACGTGGTCTGGAATCAGGAGCAGGGCTGGGGGCTGGTGCGCAGACATTCTGATATGGAGTGCAGGTATCCCAACCCATGGCGTAGCTGCTAGGCCAAACACTTATCTCCAGATTTTCTGAAGTTTGTTTAGTGGACATGTCTTATTCATTGATTTGGATGAAAGTATATTTTCTAAATTGCACACATATTAAATAATAAAAATAACAAAATTTATAAAGGGTTCATTTTGTCTTATCTATGCATATAATCATAGCATTTTCAGCTTTAATAAACTCATTGACTACTGATTTAGGACATAAAATTAATGCACAGACCTTCAGGTGTCAGGGGCACCCACTGCATTTCCATATTGCAGACTTCTTTTGTGAGGTGACTTGAGAGGCAGAACTAAAATCACCTTAAGCCTTAATTCACATCTGTAGGTTTAGATTGAGGTGGAGTTGGGATTGCGGAGTAAGGGCAGGGATAATCTTTATGCACAAAAACATTTTGATGGTGCCATTTTCGTGTGGCTACCTTAAAGCCATTTAATTAGGCATCCTGAATGAGAAGAGCCATTTTTTGGCTCACTAGTTACCATCAGCTATAAGCACTGCTACTCTTTAAACACGAGGATTTGGTTAGCTACAGGGGAAAGTGTGTACTTAGTACCAGGTGTCTAATATCAGGTGTCCTTTTTGTTCCCCAACGCAGGACCGTCAGTGTATGCATAATGATGGGCATTGGCTGTGGTATCAGAAATCTTTCCATTCTAAAACCACAAACACCTTATGTGAAACTTTCTGAAACTGTTGTCTCAAGGAAATAATTTAGCATGAAAAAGGTAGAATTGGTGTCTCAGCAGTGAATATGTTGAATAGTTTGTGCGAGGTATGATAAAATTAAATGTTATAAAGTTAGTGATTGCACAGTAGTAATTAAGCTTGAAAACTGAAAGAATTCTAAGACAATGAAGGCACATTCCAGATGTGCCTGTGTAAACATCTAAAAATTAAGTTTCCTGTGAATACTGTAGAACTAGTGAGTACATGCTGTTTCAACACCTTATGTCTTCATCCACTTTCTGTTGCTATACAGAGTCAGCACCACAGACCGACTGACTTGTGAACAACAGAAGTTTCCTTAGCATATGGTCTGGGCGCTGGGAAGTCCACGAGCACGGTGCTTGCATCCTGCATCACAGCGTGGCAGAGGGCGTCACACGGGGAGATGGCCAGCTTGTCCAGAGAGGGATTGCTTTTATAGTGAGGTCATTCCCTCCACAACAGATCACCCCATTTGTGAGGGCAGAGCCACATGGCGCTGCCACCTCCCGAAGGTCCTGTCCCTCGACACTGCTGCCCTGGGGACTGTTTGGGGAGCTGCCTCCAGCCCAGGGCGCCTCGAGAGAGAGAGCTCTTCAGCTCCCGCAGTGCTTCGGCACATGCTCTGTTCCCTTGTCAACTTCCTGCATATTCTCTCGTTTGGTCTTGAAGACAGTCATGTGGCGCAGAGTAGGTGTTGTTACGCTTCTTTTTGATTGAAACTCCAGAGGGCAGGCAGAGCGTTTGGATTCAGGACTGTAACCAGCCCAGGCCAGTGGCTTCACTGCTCCACTGTGTGTGATAACATCAGAACGCCTGTATGCAGCGGCCTGCATACAGTGTCCAGTGACGTACAGTCTGTTTTCACACCCACTGGCTTAGTCTCCTCGCCGCTGGCCCATGTCAGCCTTGGAAAGCAAACTCTCTTGATTTCTGTAGCTGCTGCCCCTGCACCGTGCAGCGGCTCTCCTGGATTGTGGTGTGCGTTTTGTCACAGCGACAGGGTGCGCGAGGGTGTTTCCCTCACAGCTGTGTACATGCACAGGGTGGAGTGCGTGCTGGGCAGTTTTCTGATTTAATATTCTCTGAGACTCTGACCCTAATGACGGGCACATCTAAGTGCGGTGTGGGTTCTGCTGTGCCTCGGCAGCGTCACGTCCGCTGCCTTCAAGCTGAACATACTGTCCAGGCAGCAAAGGGAGGAACCTAAGGGTGTTTTGTCTTCTGAAGAAAGTAATTGAAAGAATGTGAGATCACAAGTAGCCCCAGGCTTGTGAAGGACCTTTCCTTGAAGGCCGCATTCGGGCGAGAACCAGTCAGAGATTTCCAGAGCTGGAAGGATCCACTCGTCCTAGAACAGTGCAGTCCCTGTCGCCACAGCTGTCCGCGTGGTTTGCACACGGTCTTGGCAAGACCTGCAGGGCAGCTTGCCTCAGTGTCCTGTGTGGACAGTCACACTGGGTGGCAGGGCTCTACTGGAGACCCCAGCTTTGGATGCGATGACCTCCAACCTTCTACTATTTGATAACACACTACAAACAAGTGGCTAGAGGAAACGGACGCCATTTCTGGTGTCTTGTCAGTGGTGACTTACTTTCTAGCATCTTGTTTGTGTTTGTTAGTCTTATTCTTAGCATTAATCAGTCTGGCTTTAGTTGACCTCATTCCCATGGTCCTTTTCTTAAAAGAAATGTTTGGCTTCGTTAGGCACATCAGGTATGTGTGTGGTTTTTAGTGTCTGTGCACACTAAAACATGTATCACCAGATATCTACCTGATGCTTCTTTGGTGAACTTTTCAGTACCCTTCACTGTTAACAGATGCGCTGTTACAAGTTTGCTGTCTTTCCTTTTGGCTTCTGTGACGTTCCTGGCTGAGCATCTTCCTAACTCTCCCTTTTCTTGGAGTGGTGAAGTATTTTAAAGTAATCGTAGGCGCTGGCGCTGTGGCGTAGCAGGTAAAGACGCCACCTGCAGTGCCGCCATTCCATACGAGCGCCAGTTTGAATCCCAGCTGCTCCTCTTCTGATCCCGCTCTCTGCTATGGCCTGGGAAAGCAGTAGAGGGTGGCCTAAGTCCTTGGGCCCCTGCCCCCGCGTGGGAGACGTGGAGGAAGCTCCTGGACCCTGGCTTCCGACCGGCTCAGCTCTAGCTGTTGTGGCTATTTGGGGAGTGAACCAACAGATGAAAGATTTTCTCTTTCTCTTTCTCTCTCTCTCTCTCTCTCTTTCTCTCTGCCTCTGCGTAACTTTGCCTTTCAAATAAATCCTAAAAAAAAAAAAAAAAAAAGGTGCTAACTTTTAATGAAGATGAAAGTTTGGAGAGCTCCTAATTTGTTTCAGTGAAAAAAGCAACATACTAGTCTGGCTAGAGGGCATTTTTCTTTTAAAGATTTTTTGTTGAGGCTGGCACCACGGCTCACTTGGATAATCCTCCACCTGTGGCGCCAGCACCACCCCGGGTTCTAGTCCCGGTTGGGGCGCCAGATTCTGTCCCGGTTGCCCCTCTTCCAGGCCAGCTCTCTGCTGTAGCCAGGGAGTGCAGTGGAGGATGGCCCAAGTCCTTGGGCCCTGCACCTGCATGGGAGACCAGGAGAAGCACCTGGCTCCTGGCTTCAGATCGGCGCAGCGCGCCAGCCATAGTGGCCATTTGGGGGGTGAACCAACGGGAAAAAAGGAAGACCTTTCTGTCTGTCTGTCTCTCTCTCTCTGCCTTTCAAATAAGTAGATGAATATTTAAAAAAAAAAAAAAAGAAAAAGAAAGGAAATAGGTGAATATGTTTTGGTTCTGGATTGGAGAAGCACTTCCAAAGATGACTACCCCAAACTCAAAGCCTGTACATGTCTACAGCACTAGGTATTTGCAGTAGATATGAGAAAGATGGGTTGGTGTCTTTGTATATAAAAAGTTACTGTGAGTCATTAAGAGAGAAGGTTGCTTCATGTCAGTGTCAAACTAGTGAGGACCATGCAGGCACTCCCCTAGAAACAGCTCTGTAAGCATAACAGAGAGATCCGCCTGATTAGTAAAGAAAGAACTAGAATCAAGTTAAAGCTGCACCACGCAACGATTCCCATCTGCCACACCAGCAAGGGTGAAGAACCGTAGCACCGGTGAGACGTTCCGAAGCCGTCTTCGACACTGAGTTTCACAGACCTGAGTGGTTCCTATTGATCAGTTCACGGAGGCGACAGATGAACAAGGGATCATTGTGACACTGTGTACAATGTTTATGTTAGAGGCATGAACGGAATATTCGGGGGAAAGCGGCAGCAGCATCAAGAGAAGACTTAAAAAAATGGAGGTTCATTTATTTTCCAGGCAGGCAGAATGTCCTGGGAGCAGTCTGAGGTGCCAGATGATGGCTGTGTGTAGTGTCATTTATGGGGACAGGGAGGCAGCAGTGGTGGAGGACGTGAGGGAGCTGGAGAGAGCGTTAAGTCCGGCTGGGAAGGACGGTGTATGCTTGGCTAAGTCTTGATTTGTTGTACAGTAGTAGCCTTCCAGTGAGGGATTGGTATATTCAGAGTTAAGGAGGTCTTGCACTGGGTACAGGGTACAGACAGTGAAAATGGAGAGAAGAACCTGGAATCAGGAAAAAGAAAAACGTCCTCCTTTGAAATAACCAGAATGAGGGGACTGAGGAGGAGTTGAGGAGGAGGTTAAAGGAGTCTCGGCAGCACGCAGGAAGGCTGGTGTTGCCTCAGGGATGGTGTTGCCTCTAGCGTAACTGGAAAGAGTAATTCCAGTTGGTTTGTTTATTTTCAAATTAAGATAATGACCCACCAGCCTACTCAAAGTTCACCAGCTGACTCAGAAAGCACCTTGGCTTTTTTATTTAAAAACATGTATACATGCCCTTCTTTGAGTCCAGTCATATCAAGGTCTTGGGGGGCGGGCCTGGGAACATGCATGTAAAGAGCTAATATTTGAAAGCCACTGACAGGGGGATCACAGGTGCCGCTTTGGCACATCTCAGGAACACCTATTTTTCTTTAAAAAGAGATGATCACAATATTAAAGTTTAAGCTATTGGATTGAAAAGAAAAAATGCATATGACGCTGGCTCTAATTCCAGTTTATTTAGCCAAGGTCAGCTGTCGGCGCCACTTGCACACCTGTGGCGTTTCACGTGCGCCTGCTGCGTCCTTACCTTCCTCTCCTCCTGCCAGGGCTATGGGAGCGTGTGAGTCGGCCGTCTGTGAGGGGCGTGGGGACAGATGCTGAGTTCCATACTGTCTCCTCAGACTGGCGCCAGGCGGTCACATCTTCATCTGGGGCGTGAGTGCAGGGAGGGAGGCGGACTCTGGAACTGCTCCAGGTGTTCTCTGCGAGGCGGCCTGGAAAGCTCTCCTGGCCAGCTGACGCACTGTGTTCGCGTGTGCAAGGGAAGGGTCCCTGTGTGCTGCCTTCAGAACTCGTGTCATGTCACTGATGAAAGGAAAGTTCGATTCTCACGTGCAAAACAGGGTTTCCGGGCGTAGCCGTAGGCGGAGTTCAGGGTGTCGGCGTGTAAACTTGCAATCCTCCTGTTGCAGATTGCTTGATTTGGCATTTAGAGACTGGGATTGGTCGTTTGATGATGTTGATGGTGATGATGATGATGATGATGATGGCGATGTTTTTGATTTCTGAAGAAATAAATGTGGTAAATCAAAAAGTGAAAGTGAATGATTTTAGTACTCATAGTGCATGTGGTTTGCCCTGGGGCTTGTGGTATTTTTGACTAGGTTTGAAAATTCATAAAGCTGTTTTTAATAGTACACACGTTTACAAACTAGTTTTCGAAAAGTTTCTAACTGAAATTTTGTGTCAAGCATAAAAATGAAATGCTATGTTCAGATTCTTTATTGGCTTTTAATTTTCAGTCTGATTGGGAACTATAAATTTTTATCTTATGGATGAAACATACAGAAATAGCAAAAGGAGCTACTTCTGCAATCTGTGTGGTCGGAAGAGCAGTCGCATGGGCAGCGCTGGCAGGACTCTGCCGCTCTGCTAGTTTGTGAACATAGCATGGGCTCCTCTCTCCCTTCATCCCACTTTCCCTCCTCTTGCCTTTCTAGCTTGCAAGAATTAAAACCATAAAACCTTTATAAATCTGATAAGTGCTGTGAAAATACCTGTTTCTGATTTGGCTTTTTGTGTTATGCTGTGACGTGTGCGAGATTTAACGTTGCCCTTTGCTGGAGAGTGCTAACGATGTGCTGTGACAATCTCTGTGCTTTCGGAAAGTGTGGAACAGCTTGGTGAATGGTGGCGAAGGAGATGGGAATGAAAGTTGAGCCTGGGCGCTCTGCCGCGTGCTCACTCCGTGTGCATGCCAGCAGTTAGCCACTGCTGCGAACTTACTTCCCTGGAATGCTTTGTTTTGGCTGTGAAAAAAAGAAAAAGTTGCCTCATCATTTGACCCTTTGGCATAGAACAGATCTAGAAGAAGTAACATCTGTCTTAACCTAAGTAAGCAGACTGTGAAACATAGGTTATATAATTATACCCAGGTTTTACAGCGTATCTCTACGCATGTTTTCTATAATAATCTATCTGTTCTTATTTCGTAGATTAAAGAAAAAAGTGACTTAAGGTCAGCTAGCCAAGTAGAACCTGGCCTGTGAGTTAACTGAGTCACTGGAGTAGCTGGCTGCCAAGCCCTCAGTGAAACGTCCTCAGATGGGTTTCCTGTGGTATATTGCTTAGCCCTAAGAGCTTGTTAACTGCATTAAAACATGTGTGATGTATGTAGGCACCACTGTGGTATTAAGGAGTAGTATCACTGCATGCACCTACAACATGAGAAGTGATAGATTGGGGCTGCTTAGTGCATGACTGGAGTATTAAAGGTATAGTAGTTGCAAGACAGTGGAGTTTCAAGTATGTGATTGGAGTGCCTTTTCAGAGAATCGAGCGATTCTTACTTCATGTACCAGTTAACTTCATCTCTCCTTTGTTCCAGCTAACTGCCTTCTGTGAAAGCAGTCATTCAAGGTGATCGTTTGCTTCCAGTTAAAGCCAAGACTGAAATATGATGGCCCCAAATTTATTGAAAAGCGATGTTTTCCTGAAAGACTAATCTACATACATATAGATATATGTTCCCTTTTTCCCTATAATATAAAAATTTTGGAGAGATTTTCTGGGCTCCTTGGAAGCAACAGGCTGAACCAACAGTGATTGTTGACAGGAGAAGGACCTCTTGCTCCGTTGCGCTTTCTCGGCAGCCACGCACACTACATTGCCCTCGAGGATCGAGAAGAGTGAAAGTGGAAAGAGACTGTCTCTTCAGCTTCAACAGAGAGATGTCACCAGCACATCTACCAGAAGACTGGGAGTGGATTCCACACAGTGACAGACTGCATCCACGACGTGGCCGTTGTGCTGTACATAGATAGATTCACACACACACACACACACAGTACTGTGATACTGCAAGGTTTCTAAAGCTTCCTGTTTTATTTTTTTATACACATTAATCGGATGTCATTACTTTGCTGCAGTCACAGCTCTGCACTTGTGTAAAGCCATAATGTCGGGGTTCATCACGCATCTGTGTGCGCCTGATGGGAGCTGCATGTCCATGTTGAGCAGTCACTGCAACAGGAAGTATGAAGTTAATTAATTAGAGTAGTTCCCTAGTGCTTCGTCATAGGCACCTTTACCCATTTTGAATGCCTTAATTTAATTTTCCCTAAGTCTCAACCCTTTTCTGTATTAAAAAAAAAAAGAAAAGAAAAAATAGAACAAGTGTTTATCTACCAGCTCTTAGGATGCAAATTTGCTTTGTGAAAGAAAAATAGTGCACTATTTTTACACATAATAGTTAGATCAATGTCAACCTATTTTGATTGTAAAACAAAAACATTTTTTAATGTATTGGTCATAGAAACGATAATGGGTAGTATTGGAACTAATATAATATCTTCGCTGTAGATCTGTCCACTTAGCCCTTTTTATAGACCTCAGTGTTCGTTGCTTTGCTGAGTTTGCTAGCTATCCTCAGTGTGTTTTATTTCTGGAAAAGACATTTGTGACTGTTTGTACATGTTCACACTCAAGATTCAAAAACTGTCTCAAATATAAAGACAACTAAGACATAGTGTAGATATATTTTAAATATTTAAATGTGATCCTCAAACACACAATTGTGTGCGGCAATATTTCAGTACTGGATAAAGAAAACTCGTATCTGGGAAGAAGCGGCCTCAAAGGCACTTGCTTTGATTTTTATTTTAAAAGCGCTGTCACAGTTAAGGGTTCATGCAGGCTCATTCCTGCTGTATTTCCCATTATCCCAGATGAGGGTGTGTTTATACTGCAGCAGTATGCAACAGTGGAAGCATCGAGGTTAAAAACACACGACAGCCTTCTGTCAGCCGCTCTGTGTGCACGCACAGGGTGTGGTACACTCGCACAGATCATCTGGTAGTCAATGAAGGAAGCAGACTTGCACTGACCTCCTCTGGGTCAGTGTGGAGACGCTGAAAGAGCTGGGTTCTCATTACAGACACTGTTCCGGAAGTGCAGCGCCCCTGGCTGACGGACGCGCTGGCGGAAGGCTGTCCTCGCACCCGGCAGTCTGTGCCCAGACCAGAGGTGCACATGCCTTTCCCTCGCAGGTGTGTTTTGCAGTTCCGGTTTGGGGCACAGCTTTTTCTTTTTTTTTAAAAAGTAAGTTTTAAAAATGAAAGATATATAAAATTTATATAGAATAAATATTTCCATTCATTAGAGTTGTTAAAAGGAGACTGAATATTTTATATAAAGATTTTGTTACACTATGGGAGGTTCTATCCTATTCTGAATTGGAGAGTATATATATATATATATTTTTAATAAACTTTATTAAGGTGAAATAATTTCAAGTTTACACATAAGTAATTGAAATATTTGGGTAAAAAAGGCAGAAGTTTAAATTTCAAATGCTGTATATAAATGTGGAGAATCATGGTGTGATGCAACTGTACCAGGAGAATCAGTGTGACGTTTCTGATGGGGTGAAGAAAGTCTCCTCCGCGGAGACCCCTCGCGTCGCTGTGGCCCGATGTCCGCGGAGACCCCTCGCGTCGCTGTGGCCCGATGTCCGCGGAGACCCCGCGCGTCGCTGTGGCCCGATGTCCGCGGAGACCCCTCGCGTCGCTGTGGCCCGATGTCCGCGGAGACCCCTCGCGTCGCTGTGGCCCGATGTCCGCGGAGACCCCTCGCGTCGCTGTGGTCCGATGTAGGGTTTCCAAGGTTGTTTGTCCAACAGTGCGACTGCGCTGAAGAGGGAACTCTGGCTCGGGTAAGAGTTCGCTGCCCCCGCCGCTGCCTCCGTGGACGGACGTGAGTGCGTGCCCCCACCCATGCGTGTCCTTCCCAACACTCATTAAATATGAAACAACCCGATTTTGTGCCAGTTTCTCTTTTCTTGAGGCCCCAAAGCTTCCAAGATAAATCTAAGAGCAAGAGTTGTTTGTTTCTTCACCCCCAGTTTCTCCCGGAGCCGTAATACCTCCTATCGGAAACTGAGAAACAGCGAATTCTGGGATGTTCTTCATGAGTTTTTTTTTTTTTTTTTTAACTTTTGTGGGGATAGCAGGACAGAAGTAGAGGGGAAACGGGTGCCAGTGTGACTGTGGGAAATTAATGTACAGTGAATTTTTTTAAATTATTAACTTTAAAAAAACATGTTATCTAGAAGCAAGATTTTTTTTTCTTAAAAAATGTCTAAAAATTTAAAGCACTCTAGCTAACTGATGAGTAAGTGTACCAATAAATCTAAAATACTGGTTGGTGCTTTTACAAGTAGCCTGTGCCAGAGTGACACACATCTGGCCATGAGGGATCTGTCGGGGTGTGCCGATCGGCAGGTCCTGAACCAGGAGTGCCCGAGGCTGCCAGACCACGGTTTAAGAAGTTTTGCTGCTGCTGTGGGTTGTTTCTTACAGGATTCTGAGGTCAGAACAGGAACTGCGACGTTACAGTAACCCGACTGGGACACGCTGTGGCTCTCGTGTTCAAGGTCCTGTGAGCGCCCAGTCCTTCCAGGCTCTCGGTCTCACCTCCGCTCGCCTGGAACACACCTGCCCCCCGTGTCGCCACGACGGCGGGGCGGACCGTGAAGCACTTTGAAGACGAGCGCTGTGTGGCGGTGCCGAGTGCCACGCCCGGGGCCTCTCCTGGTCCCCTCCCCGTAACGATGACTTTTGTTTGGAATTACAAGTTATGAGATGCATGGGTTGATAACCATCAGCATTGGATCAGCTCTCCCCCTAAACAAAAATCATACCCCCCCCTCGATTTTTCCTTTTTACAATTGTGTTGCATCTTTGTAGTAATGTAATTGTATTTCATGCCTGCTTTTTGTTAAAAAAAAATAATAAATTAAGACGTAAGCATTTTCATACCTTTCCTGTGAGATAGTCCTGAAATACTGCAACTTTTTTAAGTTCACCCAAAAAACACGTCTTCCCAAAACAGGGAGCCTCCAAAGCGGGGTCAGTGCAGCGAGCAGGTCTTAGAACTGAGGCTGAGGTCTCCGGGTTTCTCTGTTTTTAGTTCGTGGAGAAATACAGCAGGATTTCAGCCAGGAGTCTGATTTCTCGGAGTATTTTAGGGGCCACATAGACCTAAAGTAGCACCTCCCGTGCTGGGGATAGCAGGGGGCAGGAAGCATTTTTGTCAGGAAACAGGTGCTCCATGGGCAGCTGGTTGGGAAGCGTTTCTCCGTCCGTCGTGTCCCCCAGGACGTGATCGGCTGTTCTTGGGCAGGCTACTCACTCTGAGCCTCACTGCTTCATAAGATCACTGCAGGGGCCAGCGCCGTGGCGCAGCGGGCGAAAGCCCCAGCCTGCAGTGCCGACACCACATGTGGAAGCCAGTTCAAGTCCCAGCTGCTCCACTTCTGATCCAGCTCCCTGCCAGCACACCTGGGGAAGCAGTGGGAGATGGCCCAAGTCCTTGGGCCCCTGCACCCACGTGGGAGACCCGGAAGAAGCTCCTGGCTCCTGGCTTCGGCCTGGCCCAGCCCCGGCCATTGTGGCCATTTGGGGAATGAACCAGCGGATGGAAGACCTCTCTCTACCTCTTTAACTCTGTTCTTAATCTTATCAGGATTAAATAGGATGATGTGTGTAAAAGAGGAAAAAAGAGAACTCTATACCTAAGTGAAATGTGTTCTTACAGGAGTTAAAGTACATCTAAATATTTGTTTTTGGGTTTTGTTTGTTTGTTTGTTTGTTTTGATAGAGTGGATAGAGAGACAGAGAGAAAGGTCTTCCTTTTGCCGTTGGTTCACCCTCCAATGGCCGCCGCGGCTGGCGCACTGCGCTGATCCGATGGCAAGAGCCAGGTGCTTCTCCTGGTCTCTGATGCGGGTGCAGGGCCCAAGCACTTGGGCCATCCTCCACTGTACTCCTTGGCCACAGCAGAGAGCTGGCCTGGAAGAGGGGCAACCGGGACAGAATCCGGCGCCCCGACCGGGACTAGAACCCGGTGTGCCAGTGCTGCAAGGCGGAGGATTAGCCTAGTGAGCCACGGCGCTGGCCACATCTAAATATTTGTTGGAATAAAAGTCACCATCTGGGCAGGCATGGCACCATGCTTGGGACGCCTGTATCCCAGTCCCAGCTAATGCACACCCAGGGAGGCAGTGGACAATGGCTCAGCTGGCTGGACCCCTGCCATCCACGTAGGAGACGGCTGGGGTTCTAGGCTGGCTTTGGCCTGGCCGGCTTTGGCCTGGCCGGCTCTGGCTTTTACAGGCATTTGGAGAGTGAGCCAGCAGATGGAAGTTCAGCCTGTCACGTAGATGAAAAATAAACTTAAAAATACATATAATTTTTACTTATGGTCAGACTATAACTGCATGTTAGAGAACTTGGACTTTTCATATGACACCTATGATTTTAACAACTACAGAATGATGATTTTTAAGTCTTTCTGATCGTCTCGAGCAGTAGTTCTAAAAGGTTTCACTACGGTTTGTTTAAGCACTACACTGCGGCTGGCGCTGTGGCGTAGCAGGTAAAGCCGCCGCCTGCAGTGCCGCCATTCCATGTGAGTGCCAGTTTGAGTCCCAGCTGCTCCACTTCCGATCCAGCTCTCTGCTGTGGCCTGGGAAAGCACTAGAAGATGGCCCAAGTCCTTGGGCCCCTGCACCTGCGTGGGAGACCTGGAAGAAGCACCTGGCTCCTGGCTCCTGGCTTCAGATCAGCACAGCTCCAGCTGTTGCGGCCATCTGGGGAGTGAACCAGGAGATGGAAGACCTTTCTCTCTGCCTCTCAAATAAATAAATCTTTAAAAGAAAGTAAACACAGCACCTTACATAGTTTAAAACTAGTTAAAATGTCAGTTTTAAGATCAGCATGGAGTTCAAAACAGGAAGTTTGTTTTACATAGTAAGCCTCAGCAGAGGTGAAAACAGGAAGTTTATTTTACATAGTAAGCCTCAGCAGAGGTGAAAACAGGAAGTTTGTTTTAAGCTAAACACTTAACAAACTACTGTATATAAGAATAATGCCACTGAGTTCAAAAGGGTTTACGGGAAACCAGCGTGTGTTCTTACTGTCATGTGTAGGACACGGTGCTGTGAGAAGTCCCCCAGAACTGGCACCTAGCAGTGCTCTTCACACACTTTCCTGGCGTGGTCACCATGTCCAGTGAGGGCAGCTGCAGAGCTGGGGCCCCTTTGAAGGCAACATTGTGCTTGTTGAGGTTAGACTGCAGCTAGTCGTATCTTCCCGTAGGAATCACTTGAAGGCACAGAGTGAGGTCAGGGCACCGTGCGGGATGCACTCAAGCCGGCCACATCTGTGCTCGCCTTGGTGCCCGGTGGAGTCTGAGCAGGTGCATTACGACAGACAGCCTGTATTAGGACATGCACAAGCTCACCGTGCCCTACCCACGGGGGAAGTGAACAGCAGTCCAGCAGTGAACTGTCTCATCCATTGCAGTTCTGCTTCTGACTTGGAGCGACCCCCGCTCCGTGGGTGTTCATTACTGGACCCCTCCCCTCAGCCCCAGCCCTGCCAAGCTGAGCTCCACCGGGACCCCGCGGGAATGCACAGGGAAAGCCGCGTGTTCAGGAGAGGCTTGGGAACACCTTCCAGTCCAGAGGAACCTTGGGAAAGTTTTGGCTACATCTGCGGCAAGCGAGGTGAGCGGCTCCGGTGCACTTGGGTGCAGTGGGGGCAGCAGCCTGCTCCTCATTCAGCCTTGGGGGAGGGCTTCCGGTAGCGGAGCACTGTGGCCGTGACCCACAGGTTGAGAGCCAGCATGACCACAAAACGGATGAAAACTGCGAAGAACCGGAAAAGGGAAAACGTACATTAAAACCTCACAGTGTAGGGCACAGGGCCTGAGAGAGCTTCGTCCCCAGCCCCGGGGTGACAACACCCGTGACTCCCTCGCGAATCATGATTGGTGATCCCTGGTGCCCCCTCTGGGGTGATCTGGCTGTGGTTGATGTGTGTTATAGGACATAAAACCCCTTGGCCGGGAGCTGGCGCTGTGGCATAGCGGGTAAAGTCGCCGCCTGTAGTGCTGCCATCCCATATGGACACCAGTTTGAGTTCTGGCTGCTCCACTTCTGATCCAGTTCCCGGCTGTGGCCTGGGAAAGTAGTGGAGGATGGTCCAAGTCCCTGGGCCACTGAACCCACATCCTGACTTCGGATGGGCTTGGCTCTAGCTTTGCAGCCATTTGGAGAGTGGCCCCTTGGATGGAAGACCTCTCTCTCTATTTTTCTTTCTCTCCTCCCCTCCGCCCCACTCCTCCACCTCTTTGTGGCTCTGCCTTTCAAATAAATAAACAAATCTTAAGATTTGTTTATTTATTTGAAATAATAAAAAAAATAATAAAATAAATAAATAAAAATAATAAAAAAAAATCCCTTGGCCGGTCTTCAGCCTCGGGGGTGCTGGTGTCTCGGAAAGTTCTGTGCTGAGCCAGGGTTGGACAACGCACTCAATTAAGATCTTTCTGAAGAACCGGCCGAGGGCCCAAGCCTCCCGGGCCTTCCAGGAACCGTGAAAGTGTGACTGAAAGCTTCCATCGTCGTCACGACCGCGGCCGCCCCGCAGGCAGGGACACCGAGAGCGACAGCGGCCGCCCCGCAGGCTGGGACACCTTCCTGATGAGTGCGACGCCTCTGTGATGGGTAGACACTGCGGGATATGAGCCCCGCTGTCTTCACAAGGCGATGCTTCGGGAACAGGGGCCACAGGGACAGACACGGCCGTCCCCCTCTCCCGCTGTCTCTCAGGCGCTCTGTTCCATTTTCAGTTGGCATCCAGGTGGAGGCGGCCAGGGCCCGTCCCCCTTGCTCCTAGTTTACCCTTTGACCAGAACAATTAGAATGCGCAGGGCAGACGCAAAGCCCTTGAGCCAGGTGTAACCCGTGGGAAGGGGCTCACGGCCGCTCAGGGTCTGCACGCGGGGCGCCTACCCCTCCTCCAACGCCAGGGCCCGTCTGCTCTGTCGCTGCCCAGAGGTCCCGGCCCCCAGGAAGCCCTGAGTGGAAGCCCCCAACTCAGCCGTCCTCAGTGAACCCAAGTCCACTCCCACCTCTCCATCAGAGCTCGTTCTCTTGGGAAAAGCAGAACAGGAAGACGCAATCAGACGGCTGCCAGTGCCCGGCCGCCCTCGAGTGGCCCCCTGGGCTTCGCTGAGCGTCACCGGCCACCTCCTGTGTCTGTGGCCTCCTCCCTCAGACCTCGCGCTCCCACCCCTCTGTCCTCCCTCCAGGTGGTCCAGCCCCGCGCCGGAAGCCCCCTGCAGGTGGGGTCCACAGTCCTGTGTATGCTCTGCTCCCACTCCCACAGGAAGCAGATGTCCAAGGACATTGGTGGCCTTGGAGATGTTGTCCCCCGAGGCCAGCACCCAGTAGAGCCAGGTCTATGACGGGGGGCATCCTAGCAAGGAGCTCAAAGAGCAAACGGAAGAAAAAGGTTTTGCTTACTTGCAAAATCGTTGGTGGTCATTAGCGTTGTTATTATTCTCGCTGTGAAAGAAAGTTTGAGCCGTTAATAACTTCCCAGACATTCTGACGTGTAGCTCAGGTAGCAAACGTTGTACACCGACCGCTCCTGGAAGATGTGGGTCGTAGGGACAACCAGGTATCGCTCAAGTCAGCCACGCTGAAGCCCAGCCATGCACCCCAGCCCAGGGGTTTTTAAACGGCTCTCAGGACAGAAGCAGACCCTGGACAGAGCTCAGGGCCGCCCAGGGAGCCGGCGGGGGAGGGGAAGAGCGCCCCTTCTGCCATCTCTTAGGCACCAGCCCCCAACCCCTCCACCCTCAAAAGGCGACTATAAACAAGCCTCATTTGCACGGTGAACTTGCTTCTGCTACGGTGTTTTAAAAATCACGGAATTCCACCCCCATCGATTGGTAATAAGGAAACCGAGTCCCAGAGAAAGGTAAGGACTCCCCGAGGGCCTGCCCAGCCCCGCTCTGCTGATCCCCTGCAGCCCTGCACTTGGTGAACGCTTGGCAAGTTGGGGCAGCGAGTTGGCAGGCAGAGAACGCCCGGCCCGAGAGGCAGAGGGCCTCTCCTAACCCAGACCAGCCCATCAGGGGCTCCCGGGGTGCCCAGCACGCCGGGCAGTCACAGAGACAGCCGTGGCCACTGGCTCTCATCTTCCACGTGAAGTCCAAGTCTCCAAAGGGCAGAGACCAAATGCTGTAGGAACTGTTGACAGATCCGCTAACCCAGGCTGCACACAGTTAGTGAGGAAGCCAGCAATTTAAATGGGAAGCGAGGCATCGTGGGTGGGCGGGGAGAAGGCCATCGGTCAGCAAGGAGGCCGGCTGAGGAGTCTGAAGCAAAGTCCGGGAAAGACGTTCAAGAGCTACACCTGACACGGGAATGACGTCTAACGTGTATTTGGAACGCACTCCACTCAACAGTAGGAAAAGGGACTTCGGAAGGATCCACAGATTCATTTCTCAAAAGAAGGCGTACAGCTGCGCTCTGGGCGTAAGAACAAAACCTAATGACCAGGGGCAGAACGCAAATGCAAGCCACCCGAGGTCGCGCCCCGGCCTGGTAGAAGGGCTGTGGCTGCAGCGGGGGGTGTGGAGAAAAGGGGGGCCTTTGTGCGCTGTGGGTGGGACCTACATCAGGAACTCCAGTAGCAACCAGGCCGGAGGCCCCCCCCCCCCCCCCCCCCGCCGCGTGGAGTATAGCCGCCACATGATTGGCTGCTGGATGCGCCAGGCTGCGCGAGCTCTCCGTTCGCTGCAGCGGCGTTTCTACAGTCAAGCTACACAGGCGGTGGTCGGGGTCTACTAGCAAGCGAATGGGTGAAGAAGTCACCAGGGACCCTCGGCAGAGGAGACCCTGTCGGCGGAGGCCACTGGGCTCAGAGCAACAAGCCAGACGCCCCAAGATTGCACCCTGCACGGTGCCACGCGGACCTGCAGCCTGCAAATGAGGACTGCACAGAAGCCGAGGGGCACGCGGGCAGCCAGGGCCTTGACACGGGGACAGAGCTGGGGAGACTTGGCGGGAGGATGACATTTCAGGTAGGAAGGCAAAGTGAGGAGAGCTCTGAGTAAATGAATAAATGCTCCATGGCAGTAACTGGCTCCCGAGTGAAATGCAGTAACCAACAGGGGAATCCTGGGACAAGCCCTGAAATCCTCATCTCATTCCTTTCTAGAGTGATGCCGACGTTGCTACTCCCAGCGACCAAAAGGGAACACTGGGTGGAAAATCAGTTCATTTTCCCCATAAGATTTTCACCTTGAGGTCATGGTTCATCAGTTCAGCAAAGACTTAGGTTAGCAAAGACTTGTTAAGCAGAGCACCATGCAAAATAGTTTCGAGCTGCAGTTACAAATTCTTAAGATTTTTTAAAAATTTTAATAGCACATAGATAGATAGATAGATAAAAATTCCCAAAGATCAGCATGGGAGCTAATAATTCATATTTCTAATTAGCAGTTCCAGAAATCATTTATACTGTGGAGGGTGGTCCCAGGCACTAAGGAGTCCTTTAAGATAAAGGGGGCTATGGGCTCCCCAGCTCCGCACAGATCCACACAGAGATGCAAATCACCTTCCCGGGAAAACCTCTTGGACCAGAGAAAACTCGCGCTGAAACAACTGCACTTGGAAGTGTTTCTCGGGCTGTTGATTGCTCTCGTAACGGACAGCCCCTGGCTGGCTGCCCACAGTGCCCTCCCAAGCGTGAAGCAGCGGTCACCCTAACGCAAAGGGACAGCCACTACAGAGGGGCACTCCCTGCACAGGCACCGGCCCCTCCCGACCGCCTGCCTTCCGCTTCCCTTCCGTGTGTTCCACGAATCCGGCTCTGCCGCCTGCCTTCCGCTTCCCTTCCGTGTGTTCCACGAATCCGGCTCTGCTCACTTGCTCCAGCGAATTCTTTTCCCCACCCGTGATGCCGCAAGGCAGCTTCCCAGGACACGGACGCGTTACCCAGTAATATCCCAGCCTTCCAAAGCTACACACCAAACTCGAGCACGCTTAACTTTGAGGTGACCTGGGACATCTTGGTGGAGAAATTGGTCCTTGCAGGCAAGGCAGGACCACGATGAAGCGGACCGACAATCGCCTAGAGCCAGCAACTCGGTCAATGCGAGAGCTCCCAGCTTCCACCTCGGCAGAGCATGGAGGTGGGTCCCGGGTGAACAGTGGAGACCAAGGCCCGTGGCCCCAACGGTATCACTGCTGCAAACCCTGCGCACTAACGTCAGTCTAGGGTTTCCACGTTTTGATCAGGTACACTGTAGAGATTCAACTTTTTTTTTTTTTAAGAAAACTAGTCAAATCAGCCCTCACCCTTGTCACCGCGGATGGGCGCCCTTAGCGGGGTCCATCTGAACAGTACCTGCAGGGACCAGATGCTGGGCCAGCGGTGACCTTGGGGACCAGATGCTGGGCCAGCGGTCACCTCAGGCAGCGCCCCCGCCCCCGCCCCCGCCCCGCGAGTCGCCTTCTTACTTGCACAGGTGTAGGCGGAGAGGCCCCAGGTGAGGGCGCTCACAGCTCCCGAGTCTTGCGTCTTCCACAGGTGCTGGAGCTGCACAAACTTGCTGGCCGCGCTGATGAGCGTGCAGAAGTGCTGTGGGCACAGAGTGAGTGAGCTGGCCGCCTCTTGCTGCAGACAGCCAGGGAGCTCCAGGCCCTCGGAGTGCTCTGCAGGCCAGATACTCCGGGCTGGTAGTCACCAGTGTGTACAGGTGAAAAAGCGGGCAGCGAGACGGGGATGTGCGAGCCAGGCAGTCCCATCGTGGAGCGCTAACTCCGGAGCGAGGGCAGAAGGCTCAGCCACCCGCGCCGGCTTTGCAAAACAGACGCACGTTGTGTCTGGGGGCCCAGGAAATCACGCTGAACAGACAAATCCCCAAACCCAAAGCAGCCAGCAGGGGGCGCATCCGCCTGCGATCCGGGTTGTCTAAGGCGCCGGCGGGGGTGTGTTCAGATCCTCTGCTCCTGCCAGCGCGGGCAGCTTCACAAACGAGCCTGCGCCTGTGCGGCAGCCGCCACCCGCGGGCCCCGTGGCAGCGAGCACTGCACACCAAAGGGAGGAATGGAAGCCTGGGGGAGACCCTCGGGCGCCACCGCAGTCACCCGGCTCGTCGCTGGCCAGGGAGGGCACGGGCGGCGCAAGGTGCTCAGGTGCTGGTCCCTTCTGAGGGGCAAGCTGAGGGCAGTGGGTCTAAGGGAGTCGGGCGACTCCAGGCTCCCGTGACCCTGGCCTTGGCCAGTGTTAGAACGGAGCTGCCCCCGGCACAGGTGAGACTTGGGCGTGGCGGTCAGAGCCGCGATGGGCGCAGCTTGTGCTGGGGCCCAGGGGCCAGCACAGGGCTAGAAAGGTTCTGGAGGGGGGTGCGGGGGGAGGGAGGGGTCTGGGGGAGCCGAGTGAACCAAGCGACTCCAGGAGGAATCTGGCTGGGCTCCGCGAGCCACTCTGCAGAGGGAGAGGAGCGGCTGTGCAGGTTCCGGGGCTCCCATGGAGCATCGGGCTTCTCTTCTGCCTCCCATCTGTGCCGCCCTGACCGGGACGGCAGGGAGGACCCAGCCCCACCTCTGACGAGTCCTGCAGATGCGACAGCCGAGGCCCATGGGAGCACCAGGGAAGGGGACAGGGGCGCCGTGGCCAAGCAGCAGGAGGGCTCCCGGGCTCCTGGGGGCAAGTGCAGGTCACGCAGGGAGCTGGGCCCAGAGGGCTCGGAGGACTGAGCCTAGCAGGGAGCCCTGTGAGGAAAGGGGGCCCGGCAGGGTGGGGGCCTGCAGGGTGGGTGGTGCACGTGAGAGGCAGCGAGGGCCAGGCCCAGCGGGCTGCGGAGGACGGAGGCCTCCAAATGCACCAGGCACTGCCCCACAGAACGACACTGGGGCTCAACACAAACTTGCCTGCTGCGGATTCGCACAGACAACTGTCAGGAGAGGCGGCAGGTGTGGCCTCCGCCGCGGCCCAGTCTTACTACAAGGATGGGCGTCCCCCAGCGCGTGGACAAGGGACCTGGGAGGCTGGGGCGGGCACTGAGCCTAGCGATTAGGATGCCCAGGGCTCACACCGCAGCACCTGGGTTCCGTCCCAGCTTCCTGCGGGTGCAGGGGGTAGCAGGTGACGGCTCCAGTGGCTGCCTTGTAAAACCCCTTTTGTCCCCTGACCCCTTAGGAGAAACGTTTGGTCTCTCAAGTCCCAGGAAGGTAGCTGCTCTTTCTCCAGGGCCGCACTTACCATGGACAGGTCTATGATCCACTTCTGCAGGCCCAGGACGAACCAGGAAGACACGAATCTTTCCAAGTGCTAAGGAGAAGGTGCTGCGTCGTGGGCCCTAGCCACGCCCCCTCATCTGGCCCCGCCCCCCCTCCTGCCACCAAGACCCCCAAGAGCTCCAGGGATCAGTCAGAGTGGGACCGCTGGAAGCCGCTGGACTTAGCGAAGAAGACAAAGCTGTCTTCTTCCACAGAGGCCCAGCAAGTCACCTGAGCTGCTGGCCCGCCCTCAGGCGTGGGAACTTTCCTGATGGGGTTAACTGCCTGCCCAAGGCCGGGCCAGGCAGATGGCTCCAATTTACAGCCAGAGCTAATGGCGCTTGCAAAAGAGAGGCCCCCGGGGTTACACCAGCGGAACCTTATGCAATCGAGGTGGAGAGGCGTGGAGAGGTGCTCCTGCTGCCCGGCCTCTCCTCCGGCCACCTCTGTTGTAAGAGGTGAGAGAGCTGCCCAGGCCAAGGCCGCCGCTGGTGCCCGGAGCGGGCGGCGCTGCCGTGGAACCAGCCACAGAGCAGGGCACGGCCAGCCTCCTGCTGCGAGCTGCCGGCCACCGCGGCCGCGTGGCTTCAGGGCTGCGCCTGGACCAGGAGCCTGGCCAGGGCTGCGGGGTCTGCGGACCAGGCAGCCCGAGCCAGCCCCTGACCCGGGCCGGGCAGCCAGGGGTGCCAGGGGCCTGGTGCTGGGGGACAGTCCCGAGTCCTACTCCAGACACGCTGGGTGCGTTTAGGGCGGGGGGGGGGGAGTGGAGGGAAGGGGCGCCTGGTCCGAATGAGCCCAGCTCGGATCCGGCTCCAAGCACGGGCTGCGCTAAGGCCCCATCCCCGCTTCATAGCGCAGGCGGGAGGCAGATACGCGGCCCGCCCATTCCTGATCGCAGACGTGGAAAGGATACACGGCCACGTAGGGCACGGCCTGCCTCACGTTCCCGTTAAAGTGGAAGACACAGAGCAGGAGGATGACATCTGCAGGGGAGAGGCGGGGTGAGAGGGGGAGGGCCCCGAGGGCGGCGGGGGCGGGGGCGGGGGGCGGTACCTTGCGCGATGAGGATGGGGTACTCCAGGTAGGTGAGCAGCGGGCTCCCGTAGTAGCACTGGTACCGGAGGAACACCAGGAACCTGGGGCGGGGGTAGAGCAGTGTCACACAGTCCCTGGGCACGCAGGGGCGCGAGGAAGACTCTGGAACAGGCAGTACTCACGGGGGCTGGCGGAGGGCGGCTCTGCCAGGCCCCAGAGCCCCTCACGGTCAGAGCATTAGCGGAGGGCAAAGCGCTGGCCAGGCTCTCGCGCAGTGGCCTCCGGGGCCCAGGTCTGCCAGGCCCCAAAGCCGGCCCCAGCAGCGCTCACATCACAGGTCCTGGGGGAGGGGGCACAGCGGCTGGGAGGGGCCCAGGCCCACCCCCGGGGTGTGAGAGGGGGGCCACACTGCAGAGGCTGCTCCAGGCAGAACGCCACGGTCCAGGCTGCTTCCGGAACAGGAGGCGGCAGCGCAGGAAAAGTTCAGAGATCCACCCTGGACTTTCTAAGAAAATGCTAGCTCGGCCAACCAGGCTGCGACTGCAGACCCCAGGATCCCACCCTTCTCAGGAGCGAAGGCCTCTCTTTTCAGGACTGGAGCCCCCTGCCCTCTCCTCATCTCCCCTCTGCATGGCTCCCTCCTCCCAGTGCGTGCAGCCCACCCGGGACAGGGAGGAAGGGGGCCCGCACCGTGGGACCCCTGCTTCCCCCAGGGTCTCCGACTTCCTAAGCTGGGCCAGGACCATGCAACACCCACATGCGCACAGCACTCGGCCCCCCCCCGGCCCTTCCCGCCCCGTCTCTGACAACGTCCGGTCTCAGGCTGGCTGGGGTGGTCAGAGGAGGCAGGACAGCGGCCAGGGACACCCCGGGCACAGGGGTCTCGCCCAGGCCTGGGCCTCGAGGGGTTGGCTCCTGGCAGGCCCAGCGGGGCCCCAAGGCCTGGCTTCCTGCGGGCACTGTGGCCGGCTGCCCCCCAGCTCCAGGACAACCTCTGCCCAGCCCTTACACCCTGGGGCCTCTGGCGCAGCCCCTTTTGGCCACACCTGTCAGAGCCCAGGGACTGGGGGAGGGGAAGCTTCATCCCAGCCCCCTCTTCGGCCAAGCCAGCTGGGGCCTGGGGCACAGCAAACCCCTGAGCAGGGTGCACTGTGGGAATGTTCCAGAACACCGGCCCCATCTGCAGGCACTGGACAGTGGACAGGCGCCCCGGAACACAGCCGTGGACCCACAGAGTGGCCCGAGAAGTGTGAATGAGCTTCGTGACCATCCCCACTGCTGTCTACACCCTAAGACCACTTGGGGAAGCTGAGGTCCAAGAAGCCGCAGCCTTGTAAGACGACGCACCACCCCCATGCTCCCAGGACCACCCGGCTCCACACTCCACTACCGGGAGGGCTCATGGGTGCCAGCAGCGAGGCCGGCCCCACCTCCTATGGTGCCTACCGCCTGCTACAGAGGCACCGTAGCATCTTTCCCTTATTCATTAATATTAATTTTTGAAAGATTTATTTAACTATTTGAGAGGAAGAATGACAGAGAGAGAGAGGTCTTCCATCCTCTGGTTCACTCCCCAGATGGCTGCAATGGCCAGAGCTGGGCCATTCCAAAGCCAGGGGCTTCTTCCAAGTCTCCCACGCGGGTGCAGGGGCCCAAGGACTTGGGGCATCTTCCACTGCTTTCCCGGGCCACAGCAGAGAGCTGGATCAGAAGTGGAGAACCCGAGACTCGAACCAGCGCCCATATGGGATGCCAGCACTGCAGGCAGAGGCTTAACCTACTACGCCACAGTGTCTGCCCCTTAATGTTCCTTTTAATGAAAAATAGGATCATTAGGACGCAGGCAAGCGAATCCCAGGACACTTGTTTATGGAGCTCAGTGGCGCTGGGTGTGTTCCCCTCCCACACAGGGGCCGGAGTCGGTTGAAGCAAGAGGACTCACTCCACTTCAGCACAGGGTGGGTGGTGGCCCAGAGAAAAGGGGAGGAGCTGGGTTTAAACCCACACCTTCAGCCGACGCCCCCACAGCCTAGCGGTCACGCGGGGAGGGCAGCAGGCTCACACCGCCACCCCTGGCTGCTCCACGTGGCACTGGGGCCCCTCGGAAGGTTCCTGGGCAGCGGACCAAGGCTCAGCCTGCAGTCCCCCAGGCTCCTACTGCAGAGAACAGAGTGAGCCCGGGGGGAGCAGGCAGGGGGCAGGAGGGTGGCGGCCAGCCGGCGAAGGGGCCAGGGTCACCGGGAGCTGCGGTGGCCGCGGCAGCCAGGCCTGCCTCCCGCCCCCTCAGCCTCCACTCTGCCTGGCCTAGGGTGACGTTCCAGGGTGCCGCGCCGGGTTTCAGAGCGGGGGGGGGCAGGGGGGGAGCTCCACCTGCAGAGCTTCCGATCCCCAAGCCTCTGGGCCTTGACCGCCCACAACAGCACAGCCGCCCGGGGCCTGCTGCACCTGCGTGGGGCGTTCCTTTCTCACAGTTTCTAGCCCCAGCCCCTGGCTTTGTTCTCAAAGCTCCCTTGCCCCTGCCTGGGGGGCCCCTCTGTCGGGAGCACCTCCCACCTTGAGCAAGCCTCTCTTCTCCCCAGAGCAGTCAAGGCTCAGAAATCAAGCCGGCTTGCCATAAATCCTTGTACCCACCCCCCACCCGCTCCCTCTCCATTTCCTTTACTTTGTTGAATTGTTTTGAAGGAAGCCCAACCCTTCATCCTTGGCTCAGCTCGGAGTTTCCAGGCTTGAAACGCAGCTGCTGGCATCACCGAGACAGAGTTTATGCCCCAGGGACCCAGTTCGCTCAGGAATGGGTTGGCTCAGACTGGGACCCCAAGCAGGCGGGGTCGGGGGGGGGGTGGCCAGGAGGAGCCACGGCCTGGCTGAGCCACTGCTGTGAGCTGGACCACTTCCCTGGTCTCAGGTGCCCCTCATCTGGGGGTGAAGCCCCCTCCCCTCCCAAGGCTGGGGTGAGGGCTCCACAAGGCAAGGGCCACACTCAACGTGCCCAGGAAACGGACGCCATTGCAACACACGGCCTGCACGCAAGCCGCGGGAAGGCAGGCGGAGCAGGTGCACGGGCCGGGAGGCCGAAACATCCGGTCGTCGGGCGGCCTCGGTTCCCGCAGCCCAGGGACCCGGCAAGGCCTGTCCCTCACCCGGCTTTGCGCGCCCTGGTCCGCTCCAACGACCGAGCAATTACCGCAGCCCCTTCCGGCCCGCGTCCAGCGCTCCAGCCGCTCCCCCAGGAAGGGTCGCGTCCCCGCCACGCCCCGGCCGCTCCCGCAGGGTTCGCATCCTGGGCCCGGCGCCCGGCCTCGCCCTCCCTGTGGGCCGAGGCTCAGCACCCGCCGCGGCCCTCAGTCTCTTCCCTCGGTGGGGGGGGGTCGGGGTCGGCCCCCAGCGCCACTGCTCCAGGCGCCTCCGCATTTCGGCGGGGCCCGGTGTCTCACAGCCCTGCTCCCAAGGCCCAGGCCCGGGGCCAGCGGCCGGGCACCCACGCCGGACTCCGGGCGCAGCCTCGGCTCCCGCTCCCCGAGACCCGAATGCCCTGGGTCACGAGACCTCTCCACTCTCCGAAGATCCTTAGCGACCGCGGCCCAGCCCCTCGCCCCGCAGGGGAGGAAGCCGGGGCCGCACGTAAGTTGGTGGCGGGAGGTGGTTCTGCGCGCGACGCCCCGACGCGAGAGGGCTCGAGGCGCAGACGGCCCGGCGCGAGCCGGCAGATTCTGCCACCTGACGGCTGAGCGCCGACTGCCCCCACCCTGGCCTCAGTGCTCCCGTCCGTACAATGGGCGTGCTCAGTCGACGGGCGGCTCGCCAGCCGGGTGGGCGAAGACACAGGCGCCTGCCTAACCCTCGGCCGCCCGGCCACCAGCGCGCGCCAGCGGCTGGCCTTACCCCGCCAGCTCCAGGAGTAGGCTCGGGAGGCTGATGCCCCGCGCGCTGCGCGTCGCCAGCTGCGCGTGGATCTGCGGCAGCTTGAGCGCGGCGCACACGCCCAGCGTACTCCAGTTGCACAGCGCTAGCAGGGCGCCCTCCATGGCCGGGACGCAGGGCTCCCAAGGCGGGCCGCTCTGCTCCGGAGGCCGGCCCCGCAGTCCTTCCGCCTTCCCCCCGTGCCCGCCGGGGCTAGGCCCGGCCCCGCCCCGCCTGGTCCGCCTCGCCCGGCCCGGGACCCGCCCCGCCTGGTCCGCCTCTGCCCGGCCCGGCCCCGCCCCGCCTGGTCCGCCTCGCCCGGCCCGGGACCCGCCCCGCCTGGTCCGCCTCTGCCCGGCCCGGCCCCGCCCCGCCTGGTCCGCCTCGCCCGGCCCGGGACCCGCCCTGCCTGGTCCGCCTCGCCCGGCCCGGGACCCGCCCCGCCTGGTCCGCCTCTGCCCGGCCCGGCCCCGCCCCGCCTGGTCCGCCTCGCCCGGCCCGGGACCCGCCCCGCCTGGTCCGCCTCTGCCCGGCCCGGCCCCGCCCCGCCTGGTCCGCCTCGCCCGGCCCGGCCCCGCCCCGCCTGGTCCGCCTCTGCCCGGCCCGGGTAGTCCCGCCTCCGCCTTGTTCCGCTCTCGCTCGCCCCGCCCAAGCCATCTTTGCCCCGCCCTTGGTCTCCTCCCCCAGACACGCCCGCCCCTCTTTGGCCCCGCCCCTCGTCCCCGCCCCCAGGCCCGCCCCGTTCGCCCCTCCCTGCCCCGGTCTCCGCCCTCTGTAGCCCCGCCCCTATCCGCCCCGCCCCGTCCTCTCAGCCCCGCCCCGCCGGAGTGGCAGGTGTGACCCCCGCTAGGCGCCACGTGCTAGGCCTCGGGTGGGCCGGCCGCAGCCCGCAGGAAGTGAGCCTTTGCCTTGAGGTTTTTCTCTTCCTGCGAGCGTTTATTTTCTCACTGAGACTTTCCGAGGTCAAAGCCCTTGGCGGCGGTTGGCGATCCTCGGCCTGCGCCACCCGCGCCGGGCCTCCACTCTGCGCCAGGGCCCCGCAGCCTGGGCCCCGAGCAGGACGGCCGGGGCCCCAGGGGCCACGTGTCCCGGCCTCGGGAAGTCGCCTGTGTGTTGGGGCGGGTTATGAGGCAGAAGAAAAAAATCACAAAAATGCGCGGCTGTGCCTGGGGCCGCAGACCTTGGACAGAGCCGGCTGCCTGCTCGCCCAGCTTGGCCAGGCCACCACGGCGTCGCCTGGGAGAATCCAGCCGGTGCCAAGGGCCCCTGCCCGCGTCTGGATGGGCGCAGGGCGTGCAGAGGGCACCCAAGAAACACCCGGAAGGGGCGCCCGGGCCTCTCTGGGGTCACTCGAGGGTCAGCCTGCTGCAGGATCTGGTTCTCTCTGCTCGCTGCCCTCTGCCTCTGCCCTGGGCTCTGCTCCAGGGGGGACCAAGCTGCAGATGCTGGGGGGTGGGGGTGCCCGGGGACAGTTGGGCCCAAGGTAGAAGTTAGCCTGTGTGAGAGGGGCCTGAGGTTAACGGCGCCCGCCAGAGGGCAGGCAGCAGCTGGGCAGTGGCCCCGCACCCCACGCCGCAAAGTCCTGCCCGACCCCAGCAACCTCTGAGCTGGTGCCAGGAGGGCTCCCAGGAAATCCTCTCTGCCCAGCGTGGGGGAGGGGGCTGCCCCGTCTGAAAACACTGTGCAATCCACCTGCCTCCCACCCAGCCAATGCTGTGTCCAGGGAGAGGGGAAGAGATGGTGGGAACCCTGGACCCTGTTCCCCTAACGCCGCAGCTGGTGGCCGCCCGCCCGCCCGCCCGCCTCTCAGGCGTATTTTCTCCTTGGGGCTGTGTGAATTGGGCACTCTCTCTCGGATCCCACCTGGAGGGGACGTCCTGCCTGGGGTCACCCTCGCTGCCCACTCCTCTGAAGACAGGAACCTCTGTCCACCCGTCTCTGCTCGTGGGGCCACTCCAGGACAGGACTGCGCCTTTTCTGGCTGGGCCAAGGATGGGGCCCCCCCGAGGCTGGGTGTGGGGGTCAGCAGGGAGGGGCAGCCGAGCGCCCTCAGGGGCGGGGGCTCTCCCTGCGCTGCAGCCAGGCGGTGACGCCGGACTGTGGCTCTCGGCACAGTCTGATTTGTTTTCATTGATTCTGTATTCTTCAACAAAAGCATTTTTTCTCTCAGTACTTTTTAATTTTTAAAAATTACTGGCTTGGGCCGGCGCTGCGGCTCACTAGGCTAATCCTCCGCCTTGCGGTGCCGGCACACCGGGTTCTAGTCCCGGTCGGGGCGCCGGATTCTGTCCCGGTTGCCCCTCTTCCAGGCCAGCTCTCTGCTGTGCCCCGGGAGTGCAGTGGAGGATGGCCCAAGTCCTTGGGCCCTGCACCCCATGGGAGACCAGGAGAAGTACCTGGCTCCTGCCATCAGATCAGCGCGGTGCGCCGGCCGCAGCGCGCTGGCCGTGGCGGCCATTGGAGGGTGAACCAACGGCAAAAGGAAGACCTTTCTGTCTGTCTGTCTCTCTCTCTCACTGTCCACTCTGCCTGTCAAAAAAAAAAAAAAATCATTACTGGCTTGGGCTGGCGCTGCGGCTCAATAGGCTAATCCTCCACCTAGCGGCACTGGCACACCGGGTTCTAATCCCGGTCAGGGCGCCAGATTCTGTCCCGGTTGCCCCTCTTCCAGGCCAGCTCTCTGCTGTGGCCAGGGAGTGCAGTGGAGGATGGCCCAAGTGTTTGGGCCCTGCACCCCATGGGAGACCAGGATAAGCACCTGGCTCCTGGCTTCAGATCAGCGCGGTGCCATTGGAGGGTGAACCAACGGCAAAGGAAGACCTTTCTGTCTGTCTGTCTCTCTCTCTCACTGTCCACTCTGCCTGTCAAAAAAAAAAAAAAAATTACTGGCTTGAGGGGCCGCTGCTGTGGCGTGGTAGGTTAAGCCTCTGCCTGTGGCGCCGGCATCCCATATGGCACCTGTTTGAATCTCAGCTGCTCCTCTTATCCAGCTCTGCTATGGCCTGGGAAAGCAATGGGAGATGGCCCAAGTCCTTGGGCTCCTGCACCCATGTGGGAGACCAGGAAGAAGCTCCTGGCTCCTGGCTTTGGATCGGCACAGCTCCGGCCGTTGTGGCCACTTGGGGAGTGAACCAGCGGATGGAAGACCTCTCTCTGTCTTTCCTTCTCTCTGTAAGTTTACCTCTCAAATAAATAAAATATTTTAAAAATACTACTGGCTTGAGTTCATGGATGTGTTACTGTTTTAACTGCTGTGGTCCCTGGCTGTGGGCTGCGGGCTATCCCAGGTGTGGCCGCTGTGGGCTGTGGCTGCCTTTCATTTCGGAGCTCAGATTGTCTGAACTAGGCCAGTGGGAGCCCCTGCGGGTTGGCGGTGGGCCCTGTGACATTTCCCGGTCGGCTGTGGGCTCACCCTCCCTCTGCGGCGCATGGAGACGTGCCAGGCCCACCTTGTGGTCAGAGGGTGCAGGGCCAGGTGCCCAGAAAAGCCGTGGTCAGCGGTGAGGGAAGAAACCCGCAGCCTCCCGGCAGCTCCTCAGCTCCTGTTGCAGTCCCTTCAGGAGCCCTGGGCTCCGAGATGCCCCCACGTCCCCACCGTGGGGCCTGCTGGCCTCCCGGCCGGTGCCGCCTCCCCTGTGCTGGCCAGATGAGGAGGCCATTGCCAGCCCAGGACTTCCTGGCGGCCTTCCCACAGGCCCTGCGGCTGGCCCCGGGGCAGGCTGGAAGCATGACCCTGAAGAGTAGGCAGGGGGCTGGCTGGGGGCTGCCCCCCCCAGGGCTGCCTGTGGGCTGCAGGGTGCAGAGAGGTTGGGCAGACCCTTGTACTCTGGCCATGGGCAGTGGCAGGAGTATGCCACCCCGGCACGGGGGCGGCCTGGGCGAGCACCGCCGTCTTCCATGGGCTCCGGCCTCTGGTCTGGCAGTGCGCGTACCACCCCCTCAGCGCTCAGGAACACTCCCAGCAGCCCGCGGTCTCCATCCCCACCTGTAGAGAGGGGAGAAACCCCGGGAGCACACGCGGGTGTCGCCTTGTGTGCAGGGGGATCCTGCAGACGGGGCTGAGGGCCAGGGGGCGGGAGTGGTGTTGCAGGGACCTGCAGTGCCTGGGGACCTTTAGGGCAGAGAACAGAGTGGGGTGCAGGTGGCCTTGCATTCTGGGTGAGGGGTTCTCTGGGTGCCTCAGCCTCCGCTTGGGCCCGGGGCCACCCCCTGCCCCACCAGAGTGACAGGAGTCCCCATCTTTTTTTTTTTTTTTTTTTTTTTTTTTTTATTGACAGGCAGAGTGGATAGTGAGAGAGAGAGAGACAGAGAGAAAGGTCTTCCTTTGCCGTTGGTTCACCCTCCAATGACCGCCACAGCTGGCGCGCTGCAGCCGGTGCACCGCACTGATCCCAAGCCAGGAGCCAAGTGCTTCTCCTGGTCTCCCATGGGGTTCAGGGCCCAAGCACCTGGGCCATCCTCCACTGCACTCCCTGGCCACAGCAGGGAGCTGGCCTGGAAGAGGGGCAACCAGGAAAGAATCCGGCGCCCCGACTGGGACTAGAACCCGGTGTGCCAGCGCTGCTAGGTGGAGGATTGGCCTATTGAGCTGCGGCGCCAGCCAGGAGTCCCTATCTTAGCCGGGCTCAACCACCCAGCTAAGACGCTGCCTCCTGGACAGTGCGGGGCCTCAGGCTTTGACTCGCATCTTCGGTGTTAAAGTCCAACATTCACACAGAAAGGACACGAACCCTGGACTGCACAGCTCAGCAGATTTTCACTCGAGCAGGCCCAGGTAACCCCATCGAGATAAGAAATGCAATCGGCGCTGTGGGGCAGTGGGTTAGGCTGTCACCTGGGATGCCAGCATCCCATATGAGTGCCGGTTCAAATCCCAGCTGCTCCACTTCCGATACAGCTCTCTGGTGATGCACCTGGGACCCTGCCACCCATACGGGAGACCTGGGTGAGGTTTCAGGCTGCTGGCTTTGGCCTGGCCCAGCCCTGGACACTTCAGTGTTCGGGGAGTAGACCAGTGGATGGGAAATTCTCTCTCTCTCTCTCTCTCTCTCCTTCCCTCCCTCTCTCTCTCTCTCTCTGCCTCTCAAATAAATAAATAAATCTTAAAAAGAAAAAGAAAAAGAAACACACAGGCTCCCAGCCTCCTCCTGTCCCCTCAGTCACTGTCTATGGTCCCAAGTCCACCTGCTCTGGGCTCTAACACCAGGCCCCAGGGTCACCTG